CTAGACAGCATATTAAAAAGCAGAGACATTATTTTGCCAACAAAGGTCCATCTAGTCAAGGCTATGGTTTTTCCAGTAGTTATGTATAGATGTGAGAGTTGGACTATAAAGAAAGCTGAGCACTGAAGAATTGATGCTTTTGAACTGTGGTGTTGGAGAAGACTCTTGCGAGTCCCTTGGACAGCAAGGAGATCCAACCAGTCCATCCTAAAGGAGATCAGTCCTGAGTGTTCATTGCAAGGACTGATGTTGAAACTGAAACTCCAATGCTTTGGCCACCTGATGCAAAGAGGTGACTCATTTGAAAAGACCCTGATGTTGGGAAAGAATGAAGACGGGAGGAGAAGGGGATGACAGAGGATGAGATGGTTGGATGGCCTCACCAACTCAATGGACATGAGTTTGAGTAAACTCCGGGAGTTGGTGATGGACAGGGAGGCTTGGCATGCTGCAGTCCATGGAGTTGCAAAGAATCGGATACAACTGAGCAACTGAACTGAACTGAACTGAATAGTCTAATGGTTTTCTCAACTTTGTTCAATTTAAATCTGAATTTTACAATAAGGAGTCCATGATCTGAGCAACAGTAAGCTCCTGGTATTGTTTTAGCTGCTTATATAGAGTTTCTCCATCCTCAGCTGCAAAGAATAGAATCAATCTGATTTCAGTATTGACCATCTGGTGATGTCCATGTGTAGAGCCATCTCTTGTGTTGCTGGAAGAGAGTGTTTGCTATGACACATGCATCTTCTTGGCAAAACTGTTAGCCTTTGTCCTACTTCACTCTGTACTCCAAGGCCAAACTTGCCTGTTACTTCAAGTATCTCTCGGCTTCCTACTTTTGCATTCCAGTCCCATATGATGAAAAGGACATCTTTTTTGGTGTTAGTTCTAGAAGGTCTCACAGGTCTTCATAGAACCGTTCAACTTCAGCTTCTTTGGCATTAGTGGTTGGGCCACAGACGGGGATTACTGTTATATTGAATGGTCTGCCTCAGAAATGAACAGAGATCATTCCGTCATTTTTGAGACTGCACCCAAGTACTGCATTTTGGACTCTTTTGTTGACTATGAGGGCTACTCCACATATTCTAAGGGATTCTTGCCCACAGTAGTAGATATAATGGTCATCTGAATTAAATTTGCCCATTCCAGTCCATTTTAGTTCACTGATTCCTAAAATTTTCGATGCTCACTCTTGCCATCTCCCATTTGACCACTTCCAATTTATCTTGATTCATAGACCTAATGTGCAATACTGTTCTTTACAGCATTGGACTTTACTTTCACCACCAGACAGATCCACAACTGGGCGTTGTTTCCATGTTGGTTTAGCCTCTTAATTCCTGTGGAGGTTTTTCTTCACTCTTCTCCAGTAGCATACTGGGCAGCTACCGACCTGGGGAGTTCATCTTTCAGTGTCATATATTTTTCCCTTTTCATACTTTTCATGGGGCTCTCAAGGCAAGAATGCTGAAGTGGTTTGCCATTCCCTTCTCCAGGGGACCACATTTCGTCAAAACTCTCCACTATGACCTGTCCATCTTAGGTGGCCCTACACAGCATGGCTCATAGTTTCCTTGAATTAGACAAGGCTGTGATCCATGTGATCAGTACGGTTAGTTTTCTGTGATTATGGTTTTCATTCTATCTGCCCTCTGATGGATAAGGATAAGAGGCTTATGGAAGCTTCCCCCTGATGGGAGGGACTGGCTGAGGGGCAAACTGGGTCTTGCTCTGACATGTGGGGCCTTGCTTGGTAAATCTTTACTCCAATTTTCTGCTGATGGGTGGGCCTATGTTCCCTCCCTGTAGTTTGGCCTGAGGCTTGAGGCCAAACTATGGTAGGGGTAATGGTGGTAATGGCAACCTCCTTCAGAAGGACTAATGTCAGTATGCCCCTGTTCCCAGGACTGCTGGAGTCAGTGCCCCTGACCCTGCAGCAGGCCACTGCCGACCCCTGCCTCCGCTGGAGACTCCTGGACAGTTACAGGCAAGTCTGGCTCAGTCTCTTGTGGGGTTGTTCCTGTCAAAAGAGCCAGAGACCAAATAAGGGCTGACTCTTCCTTCTTTGACGGACTGATTACTGTGGAGTGTCCTTTTTTTTTTTCCATTGATAGAGTTAATACATACCCAAGTGCTATTTAAAATCTATTGAAAACCAAGGCCACTGCTCTAAGTTTAGAATTTCGTACAAAGAAGCTTACATATTTATTTGGTAATGTAAATTTCTGGGTAAGATTTAGTGAGAACTACTCTGTAGAACATCCTGTTTCTTTCAGATGAAACCTTTCCTTTCTGAAAAGGAAATTTGAATTTGAATTTGAATTTGGTTTTGTGAGACGTATAGTGTTCTTCTTTGGCCTAAAGTTTACACAGGAACTCAGAGGATAAGGCCCAGAAGGCTGCAGGGCAGACTTTTCTAGCTTTTTGTGTTCTATTTGTATACAACACATAGAGGTAAGAACTTCTGAATTCTTTCTTTAGTTGGGTTCTGTTTAACCTCTTGACTTGAAGTATGCTACCTTGTTTCTGTTTAAACAAGGTCCTAATATCTGAGAGTATTTGTATGCATTTTTGACCCTTGAAAAAACCCTTTTGTTCATGTAAGTTTTGTTGTCATGTGCTTATAGAAGCTCTTGTACAGGAGCTCTTCTAAGAGTACCTTCCATCCTGCTAACCTCAGACAGTCTGTTTTTGCTTACCGCTTTAAGGAACGGTATATAGGCCTGATTTTTATCTTATTCTGGTGAAATCAGGCAAAAAGGCAAATAGACCAGACTGCAAAATACATACATATTACACCAATGTGTTCTAGTATGTCCGTCATACTGAGTCCTCGATCTTGTAGAAAGGGGGTTGGGGTTTCCATTTGCTATCAATCATGGTCACAACAAGCATATCCTAGGACGGAAAGTAAGGCCTTGGAGAAAGGTGAGAGTGGATACTCATTCTCCTTTCTAGCCTTCAGGAGTTCAGGGATCTGGACTTGGAAGAAATGATGTACCTACAAACTCTGAAAACTACCTGAACGCACTGAAAGCGAGGCGTTGATGCTGGTTTGTGTGCTCTGTGCTGTTCTGGAACTGTTTCCTTCTTTTAGGCTGTGCTGACTTCAAGATTCTGTCCTAAGACCCACCCACCCCCCAATGTGTGGGGCAGAGCCTCCTCTTAACTGCCCTAACACAGGTATGACCAGGATCTAATTTATAATGATACTTTTAGGTATGCTCAGGTCTAACAGAAGGAAATTACATTGTTTAAACAAGGTCCTAATATCTGAGAGTATTTGTATGCATTTTTGACCCTTGAAAAAACCCTTTTGTTCATGTTAGTTTTGTTGTCATGTGCATATAGAAGTCCTTGTACAGGAGCTCTTCTAAGAGTACCTTCCATCCTGCTAACCTCAGACAGTCTGTTTTTGCTTACCTCTTTAAGGAACGGTATATAGGCCTGATTTTTATCTTATTCTGGTGAAATCAGGGCAAAAAGGCAAATAGACCAGACTGCAAAATATATACATATTACACCAATGTGTTCTAGTATGTCCGTCATACTGAGTCCTCAATCTTGTAGAAAGGGGGTTAGGGTTTCCATTTGCTATCAATCATGGTCACAACAAGCATATCCTAGCATGGAAAGTAAGGCCTTGGAGAAAGGTGAGAGTGGATACTCCTTCTCCTTTCTAGCCTTCAGGAGTTCGGGGATCTGGACTTGGAAGAAATGATGTGCCTACAAACTCTGAAAACTACCTGAACGCACTGAAAGCGAGGCGTTGATGCTGGTTTGTGTACTCTGTGCTGTTCTGGAACTGTTGCCTTCTTTTAGGCTGTGCTGACATCAAGAATCTGTCCTAAGACCCACCCACCCCCCAAAGTGTGGGGCGGAGCCTCCTCTTAACTGCCCTAACACAGGTATGACCAGGATCTAATTTATAATGATACTTTTAGGTATGCTCAGGTCTAACAGAAGGAAATTACAAACCATTATTCCTTCCGAAAGAAGGAAATTACAAGCCATTATTAGAAATGGCTGCCTTAAGAATCCACAGGCCAATCCTCACTTCGGTCTCTTCTTTACTTCATTTTATGTCTACTTCCCTGTCTAGTCTTGAGTTAGCTTTCTTATGATAGGGTCCTTTTTACCAAGAATTACAAAAACAACACTGCCAGTTGGGTCACAGCTCTAAAAGTAAAAGGTAAAACAAAATTTCTAGAAGAGAATGTAGGAAAGTATCTTCATGATTTGTGGCTGAGGAAAGATTTCACAAACAGTGCACAAAAGCACTAATTACAGAGGAAAAGACTGGATTGGATTTCATTAAAATAAAAAATTGTCTTCATTAATTACATCACTAATAGAATAAAAAGACAAGCACAGAATGGGAAAAGTTACATACAGTAAAAACAAATGGACTCATTTTCAGAATATATAATTCCAACACATCTATAAAAACATAACCCAACTGAAAAATAAACAAAAGATCTGTACAGTCACTTTTATAAAAGATGATTTCCAAATGGTCAATAAATATTTGGAAAAGGCGCTCAACCACATCAGGGTTGGAATAGATGGAAACCACAATGAGATACCACTATAATACCAGAAGAATTATTAAAAGTACAAAGACTGATAAAACTAAGTTGTTGGTAAGAATGAAAAGCAAATGGAATGTTTGTAACATTATTAGTCACAGTATATTCAAATACAACCATTTTAGAAAATTATTTGGCATCATCTACCAAAACTGTACCTTTTGCAACAATATCACCTGTATATACATATATATACTCAACAGCAGAAATGCAAACATATGTTCATCATAAGACTTGTACAAAACTTTTTATAGCAGTATTATTCATAAGAGCCAAGACTGGAAACAACTCAAATGTACAAATACAGAAGGAATACATTGTTGTATATTTATAAAATGGAAAGTAGTCACCACTCTGTAACCCACAGGAAATTGGTTCTAGGACCCCCAGGGATACAAAACCCACAGATGCTCAAGTCCCTTGTATAAAATGGCATGGTATTTGCATACAATCTACACATAACCTCTGTATATTTTAAATCATCTCTAGATAAATTATAATAGCAAATACAATGTAAATGCAACATGAATAGTTGCTGTGTGCAATAAATTCAAGTTTAGCTTTTTGGAATTTTCTTAAAAAAGGTATTTTTGTTTTGTGGTTGTTTGAATCCGTGGATGCTGACACTGCCGATACAGAGGGCCGCCTCTACTACATAGCAATGAAAATGAATGAATTATAGATGCAGCCAATAATATGGATGAATTTCACAACATAATGTTGACTTTAAGAAGGCTTATGTAATTAGGCAATGTAGGATTTCATTCATATAAATTTTAAGAACAGGCCTAAGTAATTTAGGTGATGTTGGTGGTGAGTTGGTGATGGACAGGGAAGCCTGGCGTGCTGCAGCCCGTGGGGTCGTAAGGAGTCGGACACAAGTGAGCGACTGAACTGAACTGAACTGCAGTGATTTAGAATTACTTTTGATCTTCGGGTAAAAGGGAGGAGAATAAAGCTTTTGAGGGCTTCCAGAGTACTGCTATTTTTTTTTTCTTTGTTAATTTCTTGGCCTGGATGGTGATTATATGTTCATTTTGTGAAAATTCACTAAGCTGAGGATTTATCATTGGTGTACTTTTCTGTATGTCTCGTTATAGTTCAATAAAGAGGTTTAAAAATCAAGGCCCACTACCTACCCAGCAAAGGGTAACGCTCATTTCTGTTGCAGATGAGGTATGCCATCCCAAACATGCTGAAGAGAAGGAAAAAAAAAAGATGTTAGTGTCAAAATAGGGAAATATTGAAAGCCAGAGGGACTAGCTCTTAGTTCCCAGAAAGCCTTTTTTTCAATCTTTAACAGGAGTCTATCCCCTAACTCAAGGGGTGCAGATGCCAAGAGGAAGGGAACAAAGAAGTTCTTACTTGGTAATAGAGTCTCCAAACAACATACATAGCTGCCTTTAGCACAGAGCCTGATATGTTGTGCAAAAAATGCTTGTTGAGCCTGCACTGGTACAACTGACCCTCTTCCAGGGAAACCAGACACTCAGTAGGGGACCCAATAAAGTTAGATGTGTTATATTGTCTCCCAGCACAGAAAGATTCTACCAACTGCTCAATCGATAATAGCTCATCTTTGTGGAACACATGCTATGCGCCTGGCACTTTCAAGTGCTGTTACATAATCATTTTCTTTACTCCAGACAAAAAGCTTATTAAGAGGGTATTATTATTATTATGCCCATTTTACAAATGAGAAAACTGAGGTACAGAGAGTTTAACGTGAACAAGATCCCATGGTTAGTGGTGACAAAGGATATTGATAGAGTCAATATCTAAAACTAGGATCAAGGGCATATTCTTGTCCACTGCATAATATCATCTCTCAAAGGGGCCTTTTTCAACAAATGACTCATTCCCTTGTCTATACTATCATACCAAATATTTTGTTATGCCTCTGTATTATAGCACATACCAAAGTCTCCCTTACTGGTAATTTTGTGTATGTTGTCTTTCCCATTGGATTTCAGGACAGGAAACAGGCCCTGTTCATACTTGTATGTGTATTTCTATAGTCTCTTATTTTCAGAGATGGTATAGAGAAACAGAAAAGAGGGCAGGTCTCGGGATCAAATAGTCCTGGTAGTTCCAGAAACAGTTTCTGTGGTAGACTGACTGCATTAATGGCTCCACTTCTTCAACCCTACTTGTATCTATGCCCTTTGCAGTGCCCTCCCATGCTGGGCTCATCCTTGCGGACGTTTTGGCCCATGGGATGTTAACGAACATGACACGGAAATTTGAAAAACGTTTGTGTATTGGACTTGCTCTTTCTTGCTCTTCTGACATTGCCATGACTACATGCCTGGGCTAGCCCAATATGAGATACATAGAATCACTGTCCCAGTTATGTCAGCCACAATTCCCAGTTATCCTTCCTATCTGAAGTCATCCCTGACACCCTGCTCAACCCCAGGCATATGAAAAGCCTAGGCAAGATCAGCCAAATCCAGCCAAGAACAATTGAACCCCACATATTCATGAGATAAATAAAAATGTACTATTGTATACCACTGAGATTTTGTGGTTGACTATGCACTCAGGCACTCAGTCATGTCTGACTCTGCGACCTCATGAACTGTAGCCCACCAGGCTCCTCTGTCCATAGGATTTTCCAGGCAAGAATACTGGAGTAGATTGCCATTTCCTTCTTCAGGTTAACTATAATGCAGCATTACTATGGCACCTGAAAGCAATGTGGCTCCATAAATTACTAAGTTTATGACTATGAACAAGTCATCTAACAAATCTCTGAGTCTCCATTTTTTAATTTATAAAATGGAGTTAGTATTAGTTTGTTTCTACCTCATATAGTTGATATTGAGGTAAAGTCCCTAATCTTTAATAAGGGCTCACAAAAAAATTATTATTCATTCATTTATTCAAACAGCATTTTATTGATGATCTACACATGCCAAGAACAATGCTGAGCCCTGAGAACACAAAGATGAATAATACAGACTCACTGAACCAATTACAGCCCTAATTCTGTTATCTGACCCTTTAAGACCTAAATTCTAGCTTGCTAATATAAAGAATAATACCTTTACTCTTTCCATCCACCAAGCACTACTATTTAGACTTCCCATGCTGTTCATTCACTTATTCATCATTATTGATGCCTACCAAGCACTGGGGATAAAAGAATGAACAAAAAATGATCACTATCCTCAAAAAGCTCCCAGTGTAGGACGTGAAAAGCACACTGATTGTTTTGAGTGTTCTATTGTGCTACAGAGTTACACAGAGGAGCAAAGAGCTAAACCGTTGGACTTGGGATTGGGTAGCTTTCAGAGGCAGCTTTAGAAAGGAATAAATCCTCGAGCTGGATTTCAAAAATTGACTGCGGTTTTCCTAGTAGACTGAGGATGGAATGAATGAAAGCGAGGTTAATCCCCTTAGACGCCCCCAGAGGAAGGGACATAGGAGGAGATAAGGCAGGAAAGGCAGGTGGTTTCTTTATGTGTCATTGCAAGGAATTTGAACATATCATGGAAGTGATTGGCAGGTAATGAGGGATCTTCAGCTCCTAAGTGAGCCCCATCTGGGCTTTGGGAGAACGTGTGTCAGTAAGCACCTAGAAGAGGAGCAATCTTTACCAATACCTGAACACACAGTTGGAGTGATCAACAGTTAATGGTTGGTGACTGGGTCCTTTTGAGTCCAAAGAGATACTTGAATGAGAAGACTCTCCTCTTTTTGTACAACCTTTGATAAATTACCATAGCCTCAAAATTGACAGTGGAATGGGATCTTCCACCATGTATACTATCAGTGAGGAGGAAGATGAAGGAATTTGAAATCTGGGTCTTGGCCTGGGAAGGACTAGATTTTAATTTTCTGAAATGGCTTCAAATCTGAAATTGGTGACCTACTGTTTTTGCTATCATATTTCTCCCACTTCTTTACTAAAAAATACTGCAAGGTCAATGTCCCACACTCACACTTTCTCATTAAGGCCCAAACACTGATACACTGGTCCAGAATCTGCAACACCTTTCATGACTTTCTTTGGAAGCTCTTTAAAAAAGTAGGCTGGTAGGTTGCTGCCATTGTAGGTGACAGAGTCACAGGTCACGATTCCTGGGTAGTACATCATCATTCTGGCAGCTATGTTGACTTTTTGACCAATGACTATAATAGGAAGAAGAGAGAAAGGCAAAGAGCAAGGAGAAAACAGCCATTGAACTCAGTGTAACATACTGCATATTGTCCCCAGATGGCATTTTTACCCTTTACTCCCTTTGCCTTCACAGATGACACAGCAATCTTAACCTGCAACTACCCAGATTTAGCCAATGGCTTCCCTCATTGTTCAGTCGGTAAAGAATCTGCCTGCAATGTAGGAGACCTGGGTTCAGTTCCTAGGTTGGGAAGATCCCCTGGAGAAGTAAATGGCAATCCACTCCAGTATTTTTGCCTAGGATAGCCCATGGACAGGCCTGGCCGGCTATAGCCCATGGGATTATAAGCACTGGACACAATTTAGCGACTAAACCACATTTTAGAATATACCAAGAGTTAACTAGCCATTTGAGAGGCTAAGGGGATTATCTGCTCAAGGATTAAAAGGGCCTTGAATATGGAGAGGATTCTCTTAAGTGGGATGGTGAGCAGGGCCTGAGGGCTCTCAGATGAGGTATAGTTGGTCTTCTGCTATTTAAGATAGATACACATAAGCTTGGACACGGACCACTGACCTCCAAAGGAGGCACAAAATTGGGTCTGTATGTTTCTGTGCATGAGCCTTCATTTGATTTTGTAAGAGTAAGTAAATAGGGCTGGAAGGGGTGTGAATTGTACGTTTAATTTAGGGGATACTTCAAGAGGGGATACTGCAGTGCACAGACTCTGAACCAGGCTACCTCTCAGCTCTACCTCTACTATGTGTAAATTACTTAGGCAAAATACTTAAACTTTTCCATGCTTTAGTATTCTAATCTGTAAAGTGGGGTTGATAACAGTACTTCTCTCAGAGGGTAGTTTATGGAGATTGATGAGTTAATACACATAAAGAACTTTGTGAAGTACTGGGCTGCTAGTAAGCCCTCAATTAATACTACTACTAATTAGGTATTAAATGTTGTACTTTGAGATACACTTGAATACTCCTGATTAAGATACTCACTTTTTAAAGCCAGTTTGTTATGGGGAAATTTGACCATACAGTAAAGCATGGTATCATGAGTCTATATATCTATTACCCAGGACCCCCAACCATTAACCATCCACTCTCCACCTTGTATTATTTTTGAAGAAAATCTCAGAGTTGTATTACTTCAGACATAACTGTTTCAGTATTTTATATATATGCAGTATTTTTAATGTATTATTTCTGAGCATTTAAAACCCTAATAGGATTGAACAGGAAAGAGCAGTGAAATCTTGAGATAATACCTACTTACTTTTGAGATTAGTGCTATTTTTCAGGAATGCCAATATTCATAATTTTAAGAATCAGTCCTCATCTATCCCAGGAATTAAAAGGAGTAATCGTTTAATGTTAATAGGAAATTAGCATAAAGGCCCATCATTCCCTGAGCTTATGGCCTCCCATGTGTGTGTGTGCTTAGTCACTCAGTTGTGTCCAGCTCTTTTGTGACCCCATGAATTGTAACCTACCAGGCTCCTCTGTCCATGAGGAGTCTCCAAGGCAAGAATACTGGAGTGGGCTGCCATGCCCTCCTCCAGGGGATCTTCCCAACCTAGGGATCGAACCCCGGTTTCCCTCATTGCTGGCGGATTCTTTACCACCCGAACCACCAGGCAAGCGTGGCCTCCCACACTTCCCGTCTAAAGACTGCATATTTATTATACTCAATCGTAGACCCAGAAATACACGTTTTGCAATCATTGCGCTGTCCAGGGACCAACCGATAAGCTTTGGTTTCATCTGAAAGACTGTAAACCTTTGAGCACAAGGTCCACGTCCCGCTAATTTTTGTCCCGCCCCCCATCCAGTCCAGTAGCAAGGCACAGTGTTTGCTGAGAGAAAGCTGGACATAAGCTAGTTCAGCACACCTGTATACTCGTGCCTCACAGAGTGTCCAACGATTCCACAGAAGACAATCCCGCTGGTCACGCCAATGGAAACAGTGCTGGCTCCGGGGCGGGGAAGAGAAAGAGAGTTGTGGGGAAAGAGATAAAGACAGTGAACACAAAGATGGCAGGGAGGGTGGGGACACGGAGATGAATGGGGTGGGGGAGGGGTGGGAAAGAGTTTTCAAAAAAGAACACTTTTCCCTTTGTAGTTAGGTTAGGGCCATTGCGCATGGCCTGGAGGTATAAAGGAAGGGCAGTTTGAGACAGAGAGCTAAATTCTTAGAAGTGACAACTCAGTTCACTTTCCTGCTACTTTTAAGTATTCATCTGAGCTATTTTTCTGGAAAATAATCTCATCACCCCAATGGACTTTCAGTGTAGAATGATTGTGGTTGTAAAAAAAAAAATTAACTATCTTTTGTGATTGCTAGAAAGAACTAAGTCATTTTCTCAAAAGGAAATAACTGTGTAGCATCAAAAACTAACTTTTCTAATGCGTGAAGATGGCTGCATATACAAATGACTAGAGGCTGAGAAGGTGGAATATTTAGGGCAAAGGGTGGTATCTGTCGGAGTAGACCAGGGTGGGCCACAAGTCAGGATTATTGGGGTACACAGGTGGAGCCTGAGGGCACTGGGCTCTTGGACAGCCAGGGTCAAAAATGTAAACATTTTCTTAATAATTTTACTCAGTGGATCATCTTGAGGCCAGATCAATATATAAATTTCCAATCCTAATATTTACGTTGGTGGTGGTGTTTTAGTCACTAAATCATGTCCGACTCTTGCAACCCCATGGACTGTAGCCTGCCAGGCTCCTCTGCCCATGGGACTCTTCAGGCAAGAATACTGGAGTGGGTTGCCATTTCCTTCTCCAGGGGATCTTCCCAATCCAGGAATCAAGCCTGGGTCTCCTGCACTGCAGGCAGATTCTTTACCAACTGAGCTATGAGGAAGCCCTAGTACTTACTTTATCTCCTAGTTATTAAAAATCATCTCAGGTCTCCAACATAGTTTGGAATATGAACCTCTCCCAGGAAGTAAGCCAGAAGTATAGAGAGACAATCCAGTTAGACCCTCTCTGGTACATTTGAATTTGTTAGGAATATCCTTTCTCTACCTGGCCTTGAGCATCCCCCCATCTGATTGCATCAGGTCTGGGTTTGCTCACCCTACCTGTACATTCAGTAAATAATGAATGTAGACAGAAAGACATTCAGTCTCCCGCCTTCCCTGACCTTTGTCCTGTCTCCCCATATCCTACAACAGAGTCAGGAATCAGATGGAATCAGGGTCAACACTTACCGGATTTTGTGGACCTGAGAGCAGAAGTCAAATATATCCACAGCACTCTCCAAGGCATGAGTGACTTCATCAGGTGCCTTTTCCCCAGGAAAACCAAAGACACAGAGAAAAGAGCAGCCCTGTGAGGGAGAAAGGCAGCAAACACAACTGGTGGACTGTTAGTTTTAAACTGGACCATTTAGATGGCCCAGTGGAGCCTGGGTAGCAATTTTCACTCTCTGAAACAAAGTTCATCAAATATATACTTATTTCATTCTTAGTAAACATTATATAACTTCTCTTGCATCATCAACAGTAGGGTTAGAACCTGAGAGTGTACCCTCCTGTCTACTCTCTACTGTAGCCAAGGTCTTGGGTTGCAAAGTCCTAAGTTTAAGTCCAAAAAGTAGCACAGAGCAAAAGGCACCAGCTCTGAGATCAGAAAATATGTGTTCTCATGCCACTTCCCAAGTGTGGAAACTTGGACAAGTCAATTACACTTTATGAACTTCAGTTTATCAATCTAAATACAGGTATAACTTGGACTTGCTGAGGTTGGTTAGGTTACTGAAAAATTAGTGTGTTATATTTACATATATACACACGCACCTCCTGAACTCTAAAGTTCTCTTCAGATATTGTTATTATTCATTTTTCTTAAGGATAAAGGCTTAAGCTGGGAGTGTTTTTTCTTGGCGAAAAGTTAACTCTTTCAAAGAGACAGTAAACTCTGAAGTTTGGCACTTTTACTATTAGTCCCTTAAAAAATGACTTCAGGTGCTATTTTCTGTAAGAAAATAGTGCATAGTGAATAAAAGTCAATGGGTTAAAAATTTGAGTCTATGTATGTTCTATCCTGATAAAATGCAAAAGAACAGTAGTAAAATGCCTCCGTTTCTTCAACCCTCTGCAAAAAGAATCTGACCAAGTACATGCTTAGCCACTAAGTCATGTCTGACTCTTTGCCTGCAGGCTCCTCTGTCCACAAGATTTTCCAGGCAAGAATACTAGAGTGAGTTGCCGTTTCCTCTTCTAGGGGAGTTTCCCAAGCTAGGGATCAAACCTGCGTCTCCTGTGTCTCCCGCTTTGGCAGGCACTCTTGAGCACTGGGCCGCCTGGGAAGCCCATCTGATTGAGAGTCGGATTCTCACTGGCACTAGGCTGTGTTGTGGCATTGGTGGGGCAACGGGCTGGGGGGCCCTGAATCCAGGTCTGTGAAGAGATTAAAGGGCAGCCCCTTTGGGGGCACTGGTGGGTTTGCTTGGCTGGGAATTCTGCCTAGTGGCTTGGCAAGACCTCACACTGGCCTGAGACTGGCAGCTCTCATCTGCTGAGTGCTGACTTGAACTAGGCATCACAACAGGTGCTTCACACACATATTTTTTTAAAACTTTCAACAATCACTTTAGACAAATACTATCCTCATTTAAATAATGTCCCTATTTTTATGCAAAATAAATAGGTACAAACTAAGTCTCAGAGAAGTTCAATGACTTGCTAAGGACACACAGCTGGGAACTGGGGAGCCAGGAACTGTCTCTCCAGGAATTGTCTGGAGTATCTGCAAGACACTAAAAACTGTTCTCTTGGGTCTGTGCTCTTTTCTGACGATACTCATAAATGAATATGGAAGAAGTATCAGACTCCACTGGACTGGAGGGCTCCGTTGCCTCAGAACTCCCACAGAACAGAGTATTTTTCGTACAAAAACTAATTATTTCTGCCTGGTTCTGTAACAACCTGAGAGAGTTTCTCGCCCCTGCAGCTCAGCCCTAGCTTTCCGTCACTGCCAATGCTCACTGTGTTTTTTAATCAGTGAGTGAATGAGTGTGGAGCAGTAATTAAGTGCTCCGCTCTTGCAATACAAAAACACCTGAGATGGTGAAATCAATTCTCATGAGCACTCCTATGATAATTTATCACATCATTTTTCTCTGAACAGATGAAGACCAGATTGAAAACATTGAGAGCTAAAGGTGACACCCCCACCCCATCTCAATTAAGGAGCTGAAAGGGGAGCTGGAAGTGCACGCATGGCAGGTGGGGATTACAGCTTCTAGGCTAGGATGGTTACTAGAAGACTGACCTTGAATCTCTGGGAGATTCATTATACCCTGGATTCCAGATGTATGTACATACAGTGAAAGCTAGTTGAATACAGTGGTTAAGAGCACAGACCAAGAAGGCACACTACCTGGGTCTGAAATCCAGTCCATCACTTAATCTTATTTTGTCTCTCTATCCTTAGCTTTACCTAAACATCCTCATCTGTAAAATAGGGACAATAACAACAATACCTACCACTTAGAGTAGGAATGTAAGAAAGAAGTAATATGTGTAAAAGTGTGGAGAACAATGTCTAGCACACATTGAGTGCCACATCCACCTTGTAGGCTGTTATTATATTATAAATAAAGACTGATGGTTCTAGGTTGAACGTGTCTATTCCTTCTCTTTCTCCCATATCCATGGACATAATGCTAATCTTAAATTATTGGTAGGTTTCCACATCTTTAGTGTGGGAAATTTACCTTGTCAAACATGAAGACTTTGTTGATTTGGCCTCGGAAGACCCTCAGGACAGAATTAATGTGCACGCAGGCATCCTGAATAGCTGAGCCTATGACTTCTGCTTTATCTTGGCCCTTAAACATCAGGTTCACAAACATAACTGTCACGGGGCGAAGCTCAGACAAATAACCCCGAAGCTGTTTGTCATCAATCTGTAATTTAGAGGGAAGCTTTCCTTAACATGTGTCCTTGGCAGTGGATCTTTCCTCCCAATATCATCACCACCACACCCAAAATTATCACTGGGAGGGAACTAGCCTTTTGAGATTCTCTAGGGAAACTGAAGTTATCAGAGTTGGGAGGTAGAACACAGCAGAGCCAGCCTAAAGTCAAAAAGATGGAAATGGAATGGACTATCAAAATGTCTTCCAATAGGAACTTACAAGCCTGCTCATTTTTGGCCAGCCACCACTCCCTTGTTGCAACTGGTAGCTCCCTCAGCCAATATGAGCCCTCACAATAAAAGAACTGCTGTTTCTTTTGGCTCTCTAACAATTTAGGAATAAGAATATCCTGCTGTGTAATTCAACCTAATATTTTAATAGCAAGGTACTTTTCATAATATTTCTATATTCCATCCTCCTTTATCCTCAAATGAAATAAAATTACATTATCCTCATTTTACTAATTAGATAACTGAGGGATGGAGAGATAAGAAAATTTTCCAAGTCATTTGGGAAAACAGTATCAAACAAAATCCAGATCTATGGACTTCTATTCGTAGCACCCCCTTGCCTCTCTTTGGTGTTACATTTCATTCAGTTCCCATCTTCACTCTAAGTCTATCCAAACAGGCACAGGGAAGGGAAAGGTGAGTGTTTCCCAAATTATCCCTATCTCTACCTATTCATTAGCCCTGGATTTTGTTAAATTTAAGTACATAACAAAACAATGGGGGAGAAGCATTGCATTTTTTCTCCCCCAGACAACACAGAAGTGTCAGATTCTCCATTGACAATATGAAACACATCTGGATGAAAAAGGAAATTGTGTACAGGGAATCTTGGAATTATGCTTCCTGTCTAGCTGAGGTTTCATGTACTTTTCATAAAAGATGATTTAATAATTTCTAAGTAGGCAACATGATCATTTTCTTTGATTTTTCAAATGAATTTAAGTAATTAATATTAAATACATAATACTAAACATGGTAAAGAAATTAAATTATTCCATCAGGCCATGTATTCTGAATTTTGGTTTGAAAAATTCAAGCAGATCTGTACTCGTTAGGTGCAGGGACAGACTTTGGTAAAGCTGTAAAGCATCTGTCTTTTGCCTCCTTTCGGCTCCCAAGCTGCTGTCGCTTAGCCCGTGTTTGTCACTCCTACTCAGAATTTTCACAGTGACTCACAGAACCTCTCTTATATCCCTTTCCTGCAGACCTTGCTCTCAACCAGTAGCAGCTGAAGAAGCATAACATTATCTTAGAGGGAGGGAGGGGAAGAGTGAGATGGCTCTCTTGAGCCTCAAAAATCCAAGAATCCAACAATTGCAGGCACTAGAGGGAGTGTCTGGAAAATCCCATGGATGGAGGAGCCTGGTAGGCTGCAGTCCATGGGGTCGCAAAGAGTCGGACATGACTGAGCGATTTCACTTTCACTTTCCACTTTCCTGCACTGGAGAAGGAAATGGCAGCCCACTCCACTATCCTTGCCTGGAGAATCTCAGGGACGGGGGAGCCTGATGGGCTGCCGTCTCTGGGGTCCGGACAAGGCTGAAGCGACTTAGCAGCAGCAGAGGGAGTGGTTCTCGGTTGAGTGAAAGGTACAGGGGGGCATCCTGACAGCCCTTCAACCCACACTGTGAAGGCAGCTGCCCACAGGTCAGGCTTGTACCACAGATATTTCCTCTAGGACATAACTGCATTTTGACAGGATTAAGAATTAAAATAGGCATTGTATTAGAGAGGCTGTACACAGCCTCTGAAAGAAATGTAGGGTTCAGAGAGAACAGGGTTCAAATCCTAGCTACATTTCTTACTTTATAATCTCAGGAAAGTTCATGGTATCATTCTGTCTCTGTTTTCTCATATATAATGGATAAATACATCTGCCAAGGATTGTGAAGAATAAATACATGAAAGAGTAGAGTGTCTGGGGCATGGTGAGTGCTGAGAAATAGTTATAATTTGAACAGTTAATGCCTTTGAAAGAACCTAGATCTAAGCAAATGAAAAGGGAAAACTCTAAGGGCTAGAGGTACTTCTGAGAGTTCTAATTATCTGTATTAACTTTCAAAGCTTAAGATATAATTCAAGTGACAAGAGAAAAAGTATCATTCACTTGCTATGTGACATGTAGGAAGGACATGTGATGTCCTTTTTTGTGTGTGTGTGACATGTTCTTATACTCTTGGGACACTTTCAGTTTGCCCAGTTGTATGAGGCCTAGTTTACCCCTGTTGTCACAGTGTAATTATGAGTAATACCCGTTTTAATTCTTAAAAACATTCTGATTTGAACACGTGGAGAATGTCAGTCCCACCTCTTTCTACTTCAATGAAACATTTTACAAGCTACTGATTTTCTTGATCTTAGCAGCTGTCCAAGATCCCTGACACCCCAAAAGTCAGTGAATTAAATTATTAAAATACCTGCTTCAATATGCTTTCCATCACATACTTTTGTAGGGACAATTCCAGTTCAGGATCAGATTCTAGCATGCAAGCAAGTCTCAGGAGGTCTAAGAGGGCAGGAGAGGTAGGATCAGAAAGGGAAGCTTGGCTCTGCAATGTGGGAGACAGGTGCCTCCCAGTCCCCATTCCCTTGGGCAGTAGTCTTCACTGTTCAGTCAGAAAACTCTGGGCTACTTTGTGGCCAAATAGGGCCAAGGGAAAGCCAATGAGACGTTCTCAGAATTTGAGGGTTTCCCAAAATTCAGTTGCATGTAGCTCAAAACTCTGTTCTAAATGTCATCACACTTCAGAACTTAAGGAGACTTTCACCTCCATATCAAAAGTATTGTCACAGGTGATGGGAATAAACAGATGAGGGGATGATAATGGAGGACAATGATGACAGAATGCAGGGGATGATCGAGTTGAAAGAGCAGCATGAGTTAAGAGTCAGGAGACTGGCCTCTGATCCCAGGTTTGATACCAACTTGCTGTGTGACTCTGGACAAGTCACTTCACTGCCCTGGTTGACTCTTATTTCCTCATCCAGGAAAAAAGCACTAGGCTTTCATCATCTCTATGATTATTTTCACTATAATGGTTGATTGTTCCATACTCTATAAAATAGACTGTTAGGAGGTGGTAAGAATGAATTTGAAGAAATAAAAAAATAGTGGAAAGAAATTATGATAGGTTTTCAGCAGGGAATACAAGAATGATAATAATGTGAAAAAAGATGAAAAATAATGGTGGAGTCTGAAAAGGCTACAAATTGGGGAGCAAATGTTTGTATTGAATGTATTCAAAACAAAGTTATATTTTAAATGCTGTGCTAGGCACTGTGTGGGAATAAAAAGTTATTAGGAAATTGAGTTTTTCCTGGAAGCACTTAGGCACATTCAAGTATAATATGTATAGAAAAAGTTAAATACAAAAAAGACCAAATGGGCTAATAGATTATAAAGACCAGAGACACTCAGTGAAATCAGTGGTCTAGATAAACTGGTTTAATCAGAAAAGGGTTAAAAGGAGAACTAGGAATTTTACTGAATCTTGAATAACTTGTGGCTTTTTACTAGAAGGATGCACGCCCAGCAGATGTAGGTTAAAGTCAAGAATGAGCAGAGTATGTTAAGGAATTGGTAAAGACTAAGCTGGCCTGAGCCCCATGTGAGTAAGGGAGATTAATAAGAAATGATGCTGAGCAGACTGGAGAGAAGCAAAGAGCTCGGGAAGAGGGCAGGCACTGTAAAGGTCTAGACGATCATGGCGACAAAAGTTTGTTGTTCAGTTGCTCAGTCGTATCCGACTATCTGCAGCCCCATGGATTGCAGTACGCCAGGCTTCCCGGTCCTTCACCATCTCCCGCAGTTTGCTCAAACTCAGGTCCATTGAGTTGGGGCTGCCATCCAATCATCTTGTCCTCTGTCACCCCCTTCTCCAGCCATCAATCTTTCCCAGCATCAGGGTTTTCACATCAGGTGGCCAAAGTATTGGAGCTTCAGCATCAGTCCTTTCAATGGATAGTCAGGGTTGATTTCCTTCACATTGACTGGTTTGATCTCCTTGCTATTCAAGGGACTCATGAAGTGAAGAGAAGTCGCTCAGTCGTGTCCGACTCTTTGCGATCCCATAGACTGTAGCCCACCAGACTCCTCGGTCCATGGGATTTTCCAGGCATGAAGACTGGAGTGGGTTGCCATTTCCTTCTCCAGGGGATCTTCCTGACCCAGGGATCGAACCCAGGTCTCCCGCATTGTAGGCAGACACTTTACCATCCAAGCTACCAGGGAAGAAACAAATAATAAGGAATTTGGCCGGTCTTTGCTTCTGATGCCAGAGTAACTTCTAAATCTTTGGAATTTCCCAGATAATGAAACTGTCTCTGTTATTCATGGTGGGTCCTTTGGACCACACCTGAATTTATGCTAATGAGATGACTCAGGATAGGTGTCTATCTGCAAAGACCAAGCATGTGATAAGAGGGTTGGTGCTTTGAACTAGGTGTTAAGAGCCTAACCTTCATGACCTCTGAGGAGGGAAAAGGGGCTGAAGATTTAGTTCAATTATAAGCCCAATGGGGCTTCCCTGGTGGTTCAGATGGTAAAGAATCTGCATGCAATGCAGGAGGCCCAAGTTCAATCCCTGGGTCTGGAAGATCCCCTGGGGAAGGGAATGGCTACACATTCCAGTATTCTTGCCTGGAGAATTCCATGGACAGAGGAACCTGACAGGCAGTCCATGGGGTCGAAAAGAGACAGACAGGACTGAACATCTAACACTTTCACTTTTTACTATGAGGCCAGTTTTTCATAGTACATGCCTATTAAATAAACCATCAATAAAATATGCGAACCTCTGCTTCCCTGGCTGGTAAATACTTTGATGTTCAAGGAGCATGATGTGTCCTGACTACCAAGAAGCTTCATATTTGGGACTCTCCCAGACCTCATCCTATGTGTTCAGAGACCAATACAATACTGGTCCTCATTTGTATTCTTTACAATAAAACCATAATTATAAGCATAGTACTTTCCAGAGTTCTGTGAGTTATTATAGTGAATTATTGAACTTGAGAGCATTGTGAGAACCCTTGGATTTGTAGCCAGTTGGTCAGAAGTGCAGGTGACTTACTAATCTCAGAGCTTGTAGCTGGTGATAAGAGAAGTCTTATGGAAGACTCCATCTCTCTGTGCTGACTCCAGGTAGTTAGCACCAGAATTGCACTGTGGTATTGCTGAGCCCAAAATAAGTTACTGAAGGCATTATTAAGATCTCAGAGATGGGATAAGGTACAGTTCAAGGATTATATCACTAGATTTTCTCCATCCTTGGAGCTTTTGGGTTCTTGGCCTTTCCTGGTCAATTTGCCTACAGTTCCCCTGAACACCCCTCTCATCCCATTACCTACTGCAGTTTTGTAAAATTACAGTCTAAATCTGTGATGTTCAAAATATTCAAGACCTACACAAAAATGGTGACAAAGAAGAATGATTCAAAGATGTTTCTGAAGTTTCTAGTCTGGATAAAGGAACCGTTTCAGGGAAAGATAAGTAGCATAGAATTGAGACATTGTTGAAATAAATTTCTAGACCCAAGATAAGCTGCTCCCTATTCAGCATGCCTTATCAGCAAACCAAGACTTAGATTAACTTTTGTGTCCCAGTAAATGCTCCACTTAACCAGAAAAGCAGTAATAATAGTCAGCCAATCCCTAAGTGCCTAGTCAACTCCCAGCCTTCTTACCCCAAACAAGACTGAATATATGACCCCAGCCAATCAGATACTTTCTGTTTGTCTCTTCCTTGTTCTTTATTCCTTAGCCTTTCCTTGTTCTTTACTTTTTACTTCTTGCCTTCCACACCATTTTGCAGGAGACTGTCTACTTGATGAGGTATTAAAGTTTGTTATCACCTAAATTGTCCTGCATTCCTCACACTAGTCCCAGCCCTGCTGGCAGTCATAGGGAAATCCAGCATAGATTAATGGCTCCACAAAACATCAGTAGAGAAGACCAGACAGTCCAAGACAGATTCCTGGACTCATCAGCATTCAAGGAACAGAAGGGGAACTGAAAACGGGTAGTTTGAGGGGTAAAAGCAAAACTAGGAAATAATATTTTTGAACTCAAGGAATGAGGAGAAGATAATACCTAGAAAAGAGAGTAATCTAAAGCCAATCACCTAGTTATGAGGCCTGAAGAGAGGTCAGCTGGTTTGGTAAGTTGATGGCTATTAACACCTTGACATAAGCGGTCCCAGGAGATGGGGGGAAAGTGGACAGAAGCTAGATGTCAGGGACTCAAGACTGACAAGTGGGTGAACACATGCTCTCCATCCCCACCTCAAGGTGCGTGTCATCCATGCTTATTGGGTGAATAATTAAAAGAGAGGACAGAAGAAGAGGTAGAGACACACAGATTACCCTTGAGAAGTCTGGTGCTGAATGTTAGAAGGGAAAAGTAGGATTCATAGATTTTCTTTCCCTTTTATCATGGAGAAGACTTGCAAAAGTTCGGAAGATGAGGGAAAGGCGTCCTTGTCAAGGGAGAAGCAGAGGGCCCAAGGAGGGTTTTACTTAGCATAGCTCTTGTGGGGACCGGGAAGGCGGTCCCCGTGGTACGCTGCTGGGACTGTGAACTGTACTGAAGACACCAATCGCTTGTAATGGAGCCCTTGGCACTGGTATAAGACCCTACAGACCACTGGTGGAGGCAAGGCTCTTGAGTATAGAGGGTACTTACTTTTGTGGTCACCAGAAGGATAATAATCCATGAAAGCCATACACTTTGTGAAAAATTCATCAAAGTTAAAAGAAGGGGGTGGTTTTAAGAAATTAACCTAGATTGAAAATAAAAAGAGAAGGGAGAAGTTTTTGGTTATTCTGAGGGTGGCCTGGTCCTTTGAATATAATTTCTCAACAGAAAGGGCAGGGTGTTGAATGTCCCAAACGTGATAATCAGACACTGGCATACTTACACAGTGAAGAGCTTTAATTTGCATGTAATGACATTAAAAACATCTCTGATTACTGTTAAGATCTCAATCTTCAGTATATACACAGCAGGCTATTCCAGGGAACTAACCTGTATACTCTTCCACTCTTATAACTTTCTTCTTTTTTTCTTATTACTTTACAACATTTTAATTGAAATAATACTTGGTTAAACTGCATACCATTTCTTTCTTACAAGTGTAAAAGGACAAAGGATGCTGATGCCCCAAAAGGTATTAGGAACATCACCAGTAATAAAATTCATATCAAGATCATGAACTCCAAGATATGATACATAAAGAATGGCACAACCTTATTTCTGTAATATTTTTGCCTCCAAAAGTGGATAACCTTTAGTCCAATAATGAGAAGCTATCAGGCAAAACAAAATCGAGGAACATACACCAAAATAACTGATTAATACTCATGTTAAGTGTCAAGGTCATAAAAGACAAGGAAAAACTGTTTTACATGCAGGAGACTAAGTTAAAAATAACAGTGCAGGGTGAGATCTTGGATAGGATCCTGGAAAACTCACTAAGGACATTAGTGGGAAAACAGGTGAAATCCAAATAAGGCCTTTAATTAGTGAATAGTATACTCTACCAATGTCAGTTTTCAGGTTTTGACTATTGCACTCTGGTTATGAAGAATGTTAACATTTGTGGAAGCTGGCTAATGGATATATGGAAACACTCTACTGTTTCTGAACTTTTCTGTGAGTTTAAACTTAATTTAAAAATTAAAAACAAATTTTAAAGATATAAGTAATGATTGAAGAAGATTGGGGGAGCAGGGGCATTGCTATCAGCCAGCTAGGTCATGCAGTCATGATGTGTATTACTGGAAGAGTGAGTCGGGGAGGCTAGGAGGGGTGTAGACTGATGCATAGGGCATGGTGTGGGGTTCTCATCTTTGCCGGCACCTCCATGGATTCACCATCTTTTCTTTCCATCTGCCAAGCAGTCCTGTTCCTGGTTCAGTTAGCAGCAGAGCTCTCCTTCCTTTCTCAAATTGGCTATATCCCAGGGACAGTCTGCTTATAGTCCAGCTTCAACTTAACTACAGTTTTCTACTAGGCAGGGCTCAGGGAAAATTCTTTTCCCTCCATAGTCTTTGCTGTCCCCACTCACCTCCAGTTATCTTCTGTGATCACTTGCCTTGACTTAGGAGTGTTGAGAACTTGAGGGCCAATGGCAGCCTCCAAAACTATTGTACAACGCTGTACTCCCAGGGAATAGCCAGGAAATTTTTCATTAAACAAGTGCACTAGTCCCACCAAAGGCGTCCATACCCAAATTCCACATCCTTAGTTACCACAGAAAAGCTGACCACTTCCTCTTGAGCTCACCAGGCTTGGCTCCTCCCAGAGGAGATGGCCTGGGCTAACACTTTTTCATCTAACCCAGACTGACCCCATCCAAGTCTCCAGCTTCAAAGAACCAAGTGGCTCTTCTGGCCGGAGGCCCCTGGCATGGACTGGCAGAACTTCCAGCAAGTAGCAGCATCACACCTACCTTAACTGCTCTCTGATCTGGAATCCTCTCAATTTCAATCATGCTCCTGTCGCAGAGCTGCCAGCAGTTTGGGGATAGAATGACGTCATTCACCTGTGCCATGTTCTGCGCGAGGCGCACGTCATCTACGGCCTGACCAATCACCAGAAAGTAGTTTCGAGTTTCATCTCCAAAGACCAACATGCTGATGTGGCCAGCAGCCAGTCCTGGCAGGAAGGCAAGCAAGGGTTTACGTGAGAAGTTCTGGCCTAGTCCCCAGCAGCATGGCTTCTCGGACAATCAGAGTCTTTTGCATCTCAGAGAAAATTCTAGTCTCTAAAATTTTTCTTAGAAATCAGTGAGTGTCTCTTCTGGTCCCAGGCCTTCCCAAATGCCTTTGCCCCGGAATCTAGAAAGTTAGCTACTTATTTTCACCATTTTGTGACATTTAGCTCCCTAGATAGCCCTGTTGCTACTGCTAAGTCACTTCAGTCGTGTCTGACTCTGTGCGACCCCATGGACTGCANTTTTTATCTTTGCTCTCTGATGTGCTAATTTGTAAAGACTGAATTCCCCTGACATATACATATACAGGGGGTTTGTTTTCCCTCTGAAGTGCATGGATGCTTAGGCTGGTTAAAAGATGCTGTTACCTCTTCTTTAATAGCCATTAAGTATGCACCTGAAGGGTCCCCATCAATTTTCAAGAAGAATAATACACCAAAACTCTCTAGGTGGTAACTTGGAAAGAAATATTTAGTATTATAACAAATCTGATTTTTTTTTTAACAGAAGATTTAAAAATCTTGGAAACTTTAAAAAAAAAATTGGAAAATTTGAGTAACCTAAAGCATGGGTCCCCAACCTCTGGGATCTAAAACCTGATGATCTGAGATGGAGCTGATATAATAATAATAGAAATAAAGTGCACAATAAATGTAATGTGATTGAATCATCCCAAAACCACCGTCCCCCCATGCCAGTCCATGGAAAAATTGTCTTTCACAAAATCAGTCCCAGGTGCCAAAAATTTGGGGATTGCTGACGTAAGGAAAACTGAGAGCAGTTTTGGATAACCTCTGATCCATCTTCTTATCACCTCTGATATTCAAGAATTCTAAAGTTTACAGTTAGGTAGACATGAATACCAATAGCACCAGCTGTAACTCATCATTTACACCTATCAGAATTTCATTTTCCATCTGTGAAATAGATCCCACACTGCCTATACCTCAGGAGTGTGGTGAAGCAGAAATGACACTGTGTAATGTCTGCAATACAATATGGAAATACGGGTGATCGTTATTGTATGTGTGACTTTAAGAAGCCCTCTATTAAGTGGAGCTGTGTTGCAGGCTGACCTTTTAAGCTTTCCTTGCACATGATTCTTATGAAGTAGGGGAGGACTAGTCCTAATACGTTGTTGAATCTATGTAATCACAAGCTGCTCCCTACTGTGCTTAATAATAAGCATTGCTGACAGCAGCAAGACCTAAAAATAATAGCAATAGTAATGATAAAGAGTATTTTGTGGAGTGGTTGTGCCAGGTACTATTCTAACCATTCAAATTGACTTTTTGTAAAAGTTATGAGGTGGATATTAGGGGTTCTCTTAACTGGTAAATGAGGAAAGCAAAGTTCACCTTCTGGTTAGTCAAAGTTCATGACCTGATAGTGGGCCTGAGTCATGATGTTCCACTGTTTTCTCTTTAGATGGGAGATTCCTCAGGAGTTAGGACCCATATTCAAACTGCTATAGCATCTCTTCTTTCTCAAAAGCTTACATATATGAGATATATATATATATTTAGGGCATACCACATGGCCTGCAGAGTCCTTAATTCCCAGATCAGGGATCAAACCTGTCCTCCCTACATTGGGAGTGCAGTGTCTTAACTACTGAACTGCCAAGAAAGTGTCTTAACTACTGTACAACCAGAGCTTACCTATCTTGACTCGGATATCCAGGCCTTCTTCAGACTCCTGGGTCTCAAACAATCCATGAATCTCCAGGCTACATTTGATTACCACCGTGATGATGTTTTTCAGTTGCCTCCGCTCCACCTTCCACAGGGCTAGCAGTGCATCACCTGGAAAAGACAGACACACTGGGGGCTCCTAACCTGCCCTGGGGTTCCAGTCTGTTTTGTATGAAATCTGTACAGAAACTTATTCTTCAGACATTTCTCTACCCAGTCTGCTACCCACTGCTCTCTCTGAGATGTCTCCTTTGTCAGTATAGGAAACTTGGCACTCCTTTCTTACCCCTGCCGTCTCAGTAAGCCCCCATACCTGCAAATTTTAAGATGTCTCCTCCAAAAATCAACACTTCTGAGGGAAAAAAAGAAAATAAGTTGACATTAAACTCTGTTTTTTTTCATTCATTCTCTTAAATTATGTAAGTTTCATGTGTGCAGCATAACTTTGATTTCATAAAGCCAATAAAAAGAATCTACCCTTCAACAGTGGGGTAGAAATTAGGTCAAGGGAAGAGCAATTCAGAGATAGGTTTATACTAAAGATGTCTGCTCAGACAAGGCATTTAAACCCAAGGCTCAGACAAGAATGAGAACAGTGAATTGGATTATGCACCTGCTCTGTTTCTGTGAATGGAAAGAAGAAGTTAGGATTTCTTACGAGGCCTAAGGACAGCTACCCTACTCCTATGCTAATGAAATGCTCTTTACTGATCTGTATAAGATGAGTCAGGGCTTGAGTGAGTGCATAGATGACAGGACTCCATAAGAACTGAAAAACAGAAAAAACCACAACTATGGTCAACTTGAATTTTATTACCAACTTGCATTTTATTTATTCAGGCTTTATGACATAAACTGACATTTCTCCTCTTATTTTTGCAGCATTGAAAATGTGCTAAGTGCAATGCAAAGAGGAACTAGAACTGTATATTTCTGCTTCTAATGAGGATTAAGTGTTGTCTGTTGTTGTTGTTGTTCAGTCACCTCTTGTCCAACTCTTTGTGACCCCATGGACAGCAGCGCGCCAGGCTACCCTGTCCCTCACAGGGACACTGTGAGTTGTCTAGTGTTGTCTAGTGGGTGATATTAAGGTATTACTAGGAAACTCAGACCTTGATAATAGACTAGACCTAGGACTTACCTTAAAAGGATAAATCCTTTTCTTCATGAATAGTTCAAATTAATAATGCAAACAAGTTGGTAGGCAGAGGTTGAAAAGGAGACCAAACTTTTCAGTCATCATAAGTACTTCAGAATCCATTATTAGTACACAAATTACTGACAAATAGATTATAACATTCATCTATTCATACCATGAAATTAAAAGACGCTTGCTCCTTGGAAGAAAAGCTATGACAAACCTAGATAGCATATTAAAAAGCAGAGACATCACTTCACCAACAAAGGTTCATACAGTCAAAGCTATGGTTTTTCCAATACTCATGTACCGATGTGAAGGTTGGACCATAAAGAAGGCTGAGTGCTGAAGAATTGATGCTTTTGAATTATGGTGCTGGAGAAGATTCTTCAAAGTCCCTTGGATAGCAAGGAGATCCAACTAGTCAGTCGTAAAGAAAATCAACCTTGAATATTCATTGGAAGGACTGATGCTGAAGCTGAAGCTCCAATACTTTGGCCACCTGATGCAAAGAGTCAACTCATTGGAAAAGATCCTAATGCTGTGAAAGATTGAAGGCAGGAGGAGAAGCAGGTGACAGAAGATGAGACAGTTGGATGGCAAGACCAACTCAATGGACATGAGTTTGAGCAAATTCTAGGAGATAGTGAAGGACAGGAAAGCCTGATGTTCTGCAGTCCATGAGGTCACAAAGAGTCAGACACAACTTAGTGACTGAACAACAACATTCATAACATATTCTCTTAATGACTGTGTTTGAGTTATACTGATGATAGCTTTTTTGAGTTATTGAGCATAACTAAAAGTATTACTACTACACTTCTTTTCAAAGTAATCTCTAATTTAGTTTTGTAACTAACACAAAACTAATCCCTCAATCTGTGTTAGTGAGATTTGATTACATTCCTTCACTTGTACTGCATTATATTTCAAAAAAGACTGGTTTCATACACATTTCATGGAGACAATGAAGAGTACTAAGCAACAGTACTCTCTCAGGTTGTAACCACCAAATACAGAAAACAATGAATATGCTTAAGTCAGAAACACTTACTCTCCGCTATTGCACTTATGTAGTGGTTGAGGATCTCCACCAACTGCTCAGCCCCTCGGTCCATGTACATGGCTGTGCTGAACTTCTCAGTCATTGCAGTAAAACCTGTAACAATTGTGCAGCTCGTTTCCTCGGGTGCTTGGAGGAAGCAAACAGTGTCAGGAGAAGAGGACCACACTTGCTAGCAATGGGCCTCAGCTTTTAAGAACTGGCAGTGTTTCTTTTAAATGATCTTTGTGGCAGGACAAGTGTCAGATATTGGGTCTCCTAAATCTATGTTTATTATCTTAGGGGTCAAGGAAAGGCACCAGATAACTCTTCCCTCCTAACTTCCCAACTCGAACAGGGCTGACTTCAGTTTTAACTGGGTATAGAGCTGCCATTTCACGGTAGTGAAAACACACAAAATTCAATGACTTCTGAAGAGGTGGTAAGTTTCCTCTTAAGCTGTAAATAACATTGGAGAGATCATTTCCAGAGGTCAATTTTGCCTGGGATCATGTAGGGCTTGGAGGCCGAGTCAGTGAAGTTGGGACAGGGACACTGGAGCCTGAAGTACCAGGTCCAGGACTTAGGCATCTTAAATATTTGCCCATCACTGGACATGCCAGGTAAAGGAAAATGAAAGGGAGCCAGGCCCACAGCCAGGCCCTCCCTCCTGTCTTCTCAGGGGCAGTATTTGTAATAATAGAACAAAAACTCTGAAATAGCACCCCTACTCTGCAGTCAAGCACTGTGTGTGATTTTGATGCAAACCTATTGTTCACCCACATTAAACATCCTTTTTGTGCTTGCCTGAAATATCAACAAACATCAAGACTCCGTCAAAATTATCCACAGAAGGTCTCTCTGGAGAGAAATCTCCATAGACAATGAGGTCCGGTAAATGAGCTGCTATTCTGACGATGGCCCGGTCCTGTGATTCAAGTTCTCTTCGAGTGTTCATGTTCAAGGCAAATATTCAGGATTGTATGATCACCACGAACAGTCCTGAATGGACCTTCTAGAAAACAAAGCTGAGATTGGAGGCAATCTGACTTATATTCATTCACTCACTTTCCTGTTTCTTTTCCCCCATTACTCTAGCCTGCAGAACGCTCATTTAAGTGGTTGATGTGGTAATGACTGAGCTGTTGACCATGCATTTCATGTTAACATGAGGGTGAGGCCCTCAGGGTGCAAGTGCCGTGGCGGAGGGGCCAGTAGCACCAGTGCTTTGGTCCAGGCCCTTTTCCCTTCTCTCCTTGTGTTTCCTCTTTCCTTCCCCCTTCCCTTTGGTCTCTTATTTTTCCTTTCTCTTGTTTGAAAATTAAAAAAGGCATAAACATGAGTTTGTGTGTGTGAATATTTATAGAAAAGTGAAAGTCGCTCGGTCTTGTTCGGCTCTTTGTGACCCCATGAAATTCTCCAGGCCAGAATACTGGACTGGGTAGCTATTCATTTCCTTCTCCAGGGGATCTTCCCAACCCAGGGATCAAACCCAGGTCTCCCACATTGCAGGCAGATTCTTTACCATCTGAGCCACAGGGAAGCCTGACTTATAAGAAGGTGAATAGCAAAGTGGAGGGTCATATATAAGCAAGAGACGAAGTATTTTAAGGTATAGGTGTAAAGAAATAGAGAAAAAGAATTAAAATGGCTGTGTGTATGTATGTATATAAGACTTTAAACTGTAAATGGAAGGAAACGTGGAAATTTTGATTTCTTATCTAGTTTGTTATTTAGTATTTCTTTGACTTCTGGGGCTAATGAAACGCTCACACCTGAATGTTGTGAAAATCATGCTGAACCATCCACCCTGAACAGAAATAGCATACCTAATATTTTCAGAGCAATTCAAGTTCCTGGAATAAATGACACAGATAATGAAGGAGTTTAAAAAAAAAAAAGGAGGCACTGATACTCACCAACATGAAGGAAGTTGTTAGTAATTTCAACCAGTTGTTAAGTCATGTTGGGGTACATAAGAGTATTAGAAAAACTGAGACAGCTTCAAGGAAGCATTTTTTTTTTAATCAAGAAAAACATTAGTATATTAGCATATTTTACAAAAAAATCCTTGAAGTGGACAGAAACCTTTAAAAATGGGTGCTAAATATTAGGTATTAGATAATCTTTAAAAGGAAAAACTTGGTAAATACAAATGTTAAGAAATGAACAAAAGGTAGGAGAAGCATATAACTAAGTTTTTGTTGTTTTTTTTTAAAGGAGTATCACTGAAACACAGCATATGCTAGTAACAGTCAATAGATAATAAATGCATCAAATAAATATTTTCAGATAGTAAATTTGATAAGTGCTATATGAACTTATAAGAAGGCTATGAGAATGACTAGAATGAGCTGAGACTTAGGAAAATGCTGAAGTTAAGAAAACCTAGAGGGGCTTTTAGGTTTTATTGACAGCAAGGTAATTAATAAAGGAAGAATAAGGACAAAGCTTAACTATGATGTACTACACAACACTTCTTTTGTTTCTGTCTTCTCCATTATGGATAAGTGAAAATATAATAGATATTGACAAGAAAGAATTTCAGTCCAAGATAAGAAAAGAGTGTTAAAGTACCTAGTCATTTAAATTCAAGCAGCCATCCCCAGGGCTTCCCTGGTGTCTCAGCTGTAAAGAATCTGCCTGCAATGTAGGAGACTCAGGTTCAACCCCTGGGTTAGGAAGATCCCCCCAGAGAAGGAAATGGCAACCCACTCCAGTATTCTTACCGGGGAAATCCCATGGACAGAGGAGCCTGGCAGACTGCAGTCCACGGGGTGGAAAGAGTTGGACACGACTTAGTGACTAAACCGCCATCGCAGCCATCCCCAGATAACCCATATCCACTGAAATACATGGAAAGAATTGACAGATGGAATGTCAGTAATCTCAAAAAATAATGGAAAGGCCTTCTGTGGCGGCTCACCGAGGGCTTCACTGACGGCTCAGTGGTAAAGAATCCACCTGCCAATGCAGGAGACACGGGTTCGATCCCTAGGCTGGAAGGATCCACATGCTGAGGAGCAACTAAGCCCGTATGTTAGAGCTACAATTACTGAGCCAGTGCTCCGGTGCCCAGGGGCTGCACTGCTGAGCCCACAAGCCACAGATCCTGAAGACTGCATGCCCTAGAGGCTGCGCAACAAGAGAAGCCCCCGCAATGAGAAGCCTGCCCGCTACAGCTAAAGAGGAGCCCTCGTTTGCTGCAACTCGGGAAAAGCCCATGCAGCGACAGGGACGCAGAATAGCCAAAAATTAAAAAATAAAATAAAATTATTAAAAAAAAAAAAAAGGAGAATGTGAGAAAGGCTGGAAAGTTAGAGGCTGGTACATTTTCTTCTGAATTTCGAAAGATGAGCCTACATGTGGGTTCCAGAAAACACAGTCTGGTAAATGTGGCGTATCAGTTAATATAAGCTAGTTTTGCTTCATCAATGGAAAACTCCAAAATCTCAGTGGCTGGAAATAACAATGGCTTACTTCTTACTCATGCCACGTATCTACTGTGGGCTTCCCAGGTGGCTTAGTGGTAAAGAATTTGCCTGCAATGCAGGGGACAAGGGTTCAATCCCCGGGTGGGGAAGGTTCCCTGGAGAAGGAAATGGAAACCTACTCCAGTATTCTTGCCTCAGAAATATGGACAGAGGAGCCTGGTGGGCTACAGTCCAAGGGGTCGCAAAGAGTCGGACACGACTTGGTGACTAAACCACCAGCCCATGTCCATTATAGGTAGGCTGAGGCCCTACTCTGTTGTTGCCTTCATTCTGGGACCCAGGCTGGGACCTTTCAGTTTCCCAGACACAGTAGTGAGAGTATTCCACTGTAGATTCCTTCTTCAAGTGTCCTCCCAGAAGTAACTTATGTCACTTCCACCTCTCTTAAAGTGTCCTCCCAGAAGTAACTTATGTCACTTCCGCTGGGGTGACACTGGTTGGCCAAAGCGGGAGAGTGCGATCCTACCATGTCTGCGGTGGGGGAGCTCTGGGATATCTGTGAGTCGCCATAGTCAGTAATAGGGCTTCCCTGGTGACTTGGCGGTAAAGAATTTGCCTGCAACGCAGGGGTCGCGGGAGACTCGGGTTCTATGCCTGGGTCAGGAAGATCCATGCAGGAGGAAATGGCAATCCACTCAAGTATTCTTGCCAGAAAAATCCCACGGACAGAGGAGGCTGTCAGGCTACAGTCCAAAGGGCTGCAAGGAGTTGTACACAGCTGAGCACAGAGCATGCTGCATAATACAGGAGCACTTGTATCAGTAAGAGGTGATGAAAAGGAATTAAAATGGATTCACAGCTGAGAACACTGGCCTTATCTCCTTTTTTTGATTTATTAAACTTTTAAATCAAGAGAATGCTGTCTACAAAGCATATGTTGAATTTAACAAGGCATTTGGCCAAGTTTCTCACATCTTTGTGGGTAACATACTAAATTATAGGAGAGATGAAAATGTCCCTAGCTGGTTAACAGTTAGACTTAAAGGATATTGATCTGTGCTCTAGTCTCCACTCTGAGGGATCCTCCACAAGTGTGTTAGAGGACTCAGATAAAGATACAGTTGGAAGGAAAGCTGATATATTGAATGATAGAATCTTAAAATATCTTAAAATATCTTTCAGTCAGAATATTTGACTGAAATAACAATGAAATTTCAGAAGAATGAATGCAAATAAGTACTGTGCTTAAAATTTTAACAATATAAAACCCATAAGCATGTAGTGTAAAAGACTAGATTTACTGCAAATTCAATGCTGTCTTTTAAAAAACTTATTGAAGTATATAACATATGTGCAGAAAAGGCAAAATTTCTAAGTGGTTAGCTTGATGAATTATAAAGTGAACCAATCCATGTTCTCTATTCATATCAAGAAAGAACATGGGGACTTCCCTGGTGGTCCAGTGGTTAAGAATCTGCCTGCCAAAACAAGGTACATGGATTTGATCCCTGGTCCAGGAAGATATCACATGCTCTGGGGCAACTAAGCCCATGCACCCACAACTACTGAGTCTGAGCTCTAGGCCCCGTGAGCTGCAGCTACCGAGCCTGTGTGCCCTAGAGACCATGCTCCACCATGAAAGAAGCCACAGCAATGAGAAGCCTGTGCACCCCAAGTAGAGAAAGTCCACATGCAGTTAATGAAGACCAAGTACAGTCAAAAATTAACCAATTAAAAAAAGTACAGCACTTATTATATGCTTTGTTAAAAAAAAAAAAAAAAGAACTGGCACTACAGAAGCCAGTTTCATACTATCTCCCATTTACTACCCCCACACCTCCCCAAAGTTAGTCTATCTCGTGATTTGTAATATCATAGATAACTTTTACCTTATTTGTAACTTTGTGTAAATGGAATAATATTATATATACTTTCTTATCTTTTCTCAAATGGTTGTGATGTTTATCCATGTTGTTGTGTGTATATTAGTATTCATTTATTTTCAGTGCCGTATGGTATCATTTGACTATATACAAATTATTTATCCCTTCTACTATTGACCTATGGGTTGTTTTTCCCATTTTCAGGCTATTAGGAATAATGCTGCCAAGAGCATTCTTTTTTTAAAAAAGAATTTATTTATTGTTGTTTTTGCCACATGGCATTTGGGATTAGTTCCTCTACCAGGGATTGAACCCATGATCCCTGCACTGGAAGCTGGGAATCTTAATTACTGGACAGCAAGGGAAGTGCTTAAGAGCATTCCTGTGCATGTGTTTTGGAGAACACATATATGCATTTCACTTGGGCATATACCTAAGAGTGGAATTGCTGAGTCAATTTACACCCCCCAAGCAAAATGTCAGAGTTCTGTATCCCAGGTAACATTTACTACTGTCAGTCTTTTAAAATTTTGGACTTCTTGGTAGATGAGTGGTGATATTTGTGGTTTTGTTTCCCTGGAGGTACTAGAGAAATTAAGCATGGCCATCTTGGATGCCATGCAGATCTTAAGGTAGTAAGCAGTGTTCAAATCTGATTCAGAGTATTGGGTTTAGTTCTACTCACTTCATTTGAAGTTCATGGACCATGAAATTTGAGGAAGGATGGGAGACATTAGAAACATTGTCAGGAGATGACACTTGGGTAAAAATGGTTATTGCCTTTGGATGTTTAAACTGAACTGTGAAAGGTGTGGAGAAACCAGGAGACGTATGTGCAAAGTCTAAGTAGACCCCTGAATTTAACAGAAGAATTCCCCTACTTTCTCCCTCAGGTAGAGACTGGATTTGGTTAAACAAGAAGAAAGTGCGTGAGGGGGTTGAAGAGGGAAAGTAAAGCTGGTGTTCTTTTTCCTCAGTGGAGGGAGCTAGTTTATCAAAGAATAGGTAAAATAAGGCATGTGATTTCTGTAGGAGGGGCGCTCTGAAGAGACTTCCGCAGAGGTGCTGAGCAGTCGGGACCGGCGTCAGGACTGAAGAGCACTGAGCGGGGCGTAGTTCTTTTCTTCCCTCTCCCACCCCGTTCACTGACTAGCTCAGCTCGCTCTCTCTGGCTGTCACTTGTAAGAATGTCAGTTTTAGTAAGTAACAATATAGGACATCCAGTTAAATTTGCGTTTTAAAGAAACAGTGAATAATTTTTTTAGTATAAATATATCTCAGATTGCTTGCTACTACCAGCCTCTTCAATCTTGGCAATACCACACCCTCTTCACATGTACAGTTAAGACTGTTTTGCTTTAAACTCTAAAACTAAAATGGGTTAGATTTATTTTTTGCTTTGAAAGGATCAAGTAGGATCGATGGCTATCGATTCCTGGGAGGCATATTTAACATTGTACCTGGTTAGTCTTAGGATTGGAGCATTGGAGTGAGAGACTGTATGTCTGCAAGGTTGTATAGGTGATTCTTGTCTTTAGTGGAAAGATGAATTACATATATTTTTTTTTAATTGTAGTATTTACAATGTTCCAGATGTGTATTATTTTTAAAAGGTTATTTGAAGATTTGGACAGATTTTTTTAAGTTTATGATTATCAGGTAAGGAAAGTAGGGGCATTTGGAGATTAAGATGACAAATATAGAAGGGAAACTAGAATAACAAAATTATCTGTTAATGGATTGAAGAGGCAAAGACATGTAAAATGAATACCTGAGCTTTTCTGTTTTAGAAGACTAACTTTTTCTGCTTTAAGTTCTGCAACATCAGAAAATGATTACTGTTATGGCATTTTTTTTTTCCAGCCACGCCACATGGCCTCTGAGATCTTAGTTCCCTGCCCAAGGATTGAACCCATGCCCCCTGAAGTGAAAGCATGGAGTTTTAACCATTGGACCACCAGGGAAGTCCCTATTAAGGCCTTTTATATGAAGTATTTTACATAGGTTACCTCATTTAATCCTCAAAACTGCGCTGTGAAGTAGGCTTCATCCCCATTTTATAAATATAGAAATAGCAGTCCAGATGAATTTGCCTTAGGTCACACAGCTGGAAGGCAAGCCCAAGTCTGTGGAATTTCAAAGTGCCTATTCTTCCTAGTATACCGTGGTAATCCCATTTTATGACACTTTGGGGACGTTACAACCTAGAGAAAATATTTAACTTTAGAGCACTTTCAACGCCTAGTGATGTACCGTCGTCAATTATTTGGCCAGTTAAATTAAGAATAGAGCTTGAGCAGAGTGTGGCCACTGAGAAAACATGAAAGCATCTAGGATTGAGGATATCTGACAGAGTGAAAGAGCAAGGCCTCGATGACATACCAAGACAGAGTTTCCTGAGTGAAGAAGTGTGTCCAATTTTAATTTGCTTAAAGAAAAGTCAGCAATACCCTCAAAGGAAAATGAAACTAAAGATCAATTACATTCATTATTGCTTTTCTAAATATCTATTCTAGGAATTTCTAATAGATTTCAGTTTCCATCCCATTTTTCATCAATATGTAAAATCAGGTTTTACAAGAATCCGAAGGAGATACTCTGAACATCAAGGGATAATGTTATCTGCCAAGAAAGCTTGCCAGACCACTCTTTTCAAGGTAATTTTTCCTCTAAGCTATGAGGACATTTAGTGTCTATAAATTTAAGTGCCTTATTATCTATTTTTAAAATCCTTGGTTATCTTTTGATCTGTTTATGTCTTCTCTGAATTGAAGCTTCTCTGTTTCAGAGATCACATTCTATGTATATGTGTTTCTTCCACGCATCTTTCTAGAGCCCCTTCACATGGTAGGCATTTGCTATTTGATGACTGATAAAGGTATCACATGAGAAGTTGCAGGAGAGAGGTAAATAGATAGTAATCTAGAAAAATAGAACATCTAGGATAACTAGGATGAGGTAACACCGAAACGTTCAAACTTCTAATCTCACTTAAAGGATTGACACAGATATATAAAGGTGAACTTCCATTCCTAGCCCAAGGCTTCCGCACTTTCCTCAAGTTCCCAAACCTGCCTCCCCAAGGGGGAGCCCTCATCTTCGCTCTGCACCACTGTTTCTACTCCTATAGTCACATACCTCTTCTCTCCCTGAGGTTGAGGAAAATCAGGGCCTAGATGAGGGCCTAGATCTTTCAGGATCTAGTCAGGAGTGCAAAAGACAGGAAAAGAGCCTGGATGACATTATTCAGAAGACAGCAGAAGTGCCATGTCTGTCTAAAGCTGACCCATAAAATGACAGTTTTCTCTAAAAGCCGTTCTCCTGGCCACACCCTCATCAGTAGCTCATTGTTTCACGGGCAGGGACTGTGCTTCTGATTGGCTGGCACTGCCATCCCCTCCCCCCACCAGCTCCGGTGGCCCATGGCTCACAGAAGGATGGTTTCAGGGTCCCTAGATGGAGATTGGGGGCAAGGTTCAGAGAGACTGATATGACCCTAAAGTAGTCCTGACTGTATGGAAGGTGGTTGAACTTGGGCAATAGTTGGCAGGTGATTATACAGACAAGTTTCTCCTGAGTAAACACCCATTTATGGTTAACAATAATTGTGACTTCTATCAGAACTATGAAATTTACACTACAATACTTATCTTCAGAGAATTTTGTGAAGTAAATTTTTGACTTGTCTTTTCTGACTGGTCAAGTCCATCATTCAGCTCATTTAAGTCAACCAGTTGTATCTGACTCCTTGCAACCCCATCCACGGCAGTATGCCAGGCTTCCCGGTCCATCACCAACTTGCAGAGCTTACTCAAACTCATGTCCATAGAGCTGGTGATGTCATCCAACCATCTCATCCTCTGTTGNCAGGGTGACAATATACAGCCTTGATGTACTCCTTTCCCTATTTGGAACCAGTCTGTTGTTCTAACAGTTCTAACTGTTGTTTCTTCACCTGCATACAGATTTCTCAGGAGGCAGGTAAGTTGGTCTGGTATTCCCATCTCTATAAAAATTTTCATAGTATGTTGTGATCCACACAGTCAAAGGCTTTGGCATAGTCAATAAAGCAGAAATAGGTGTTTCTGGAACTCTCTTACTTTCTCTATGATCCAACGGATGTTGGCAATTTGATTTCTGGTTCCTCTGCCTTTTGTAAATCCAGCTTGAACATTTGGAAGTTCATGTACTGCTGAAGCCTGGCTTGGAGAATTTTGAGCATTACTTTGCTAGCGTGTGAGATGAGTGCAGTTGTGCAGTAGTTTGAACATTCTTTGGCATTGCCTTTCTTTGGGATTGGAATGAAAACTGACCTTTTCCAGTCCAGTGGCTGCTGCTGAGTTTTCCAAATTTGCTGACATATTGCGTGCAGCACTTACACAGCATCATCTTTTAGGATTTGAAATAGCTCAGCTGGAATTCCATCACCTCCACTAGCTTTGTTTGTAGTGATGCTTCCTAAGGTTCACTTGACTTTCCATTCCAGGATGTCTGGCTCTAGGTGAGTAATCACACCATCATGGTTATCTGGGTCATGAAGATTTTTTTGGTATAGTTCTGTGTATTCTTGCCACCTCTTCTTAATATGTCTACTTCTATTAGGTCCATACCATTTCTGTCCTTAATTGTGCTCATCTTTGCAATGAAATATTCCTTTCGTATCTCAAATTTTCTTGAAGAGATATCTAGTCTTTCCCATTCTTATTTTCCTCTATTTCTTTGCATTGATCATTGAGAAAGGCTTTCTTATCCCTCCTTGGTATTCTTTGGAACTCTGCATTCAAATGGGTATATCTTTCTTTTCCCTTTTGCCTTTCACTTCTCTTCTTTTCTCAGCTATTTGTATTGCCTCCTCAGACAACCATTTTGCCTTTTTGCATTTCTTTTTCTTGGGGATGGTCTTGATTATTGCCTCCTGTACAATGTCACGAACCTCTGTCCATAGTTCTTCAGGCACTCTGTCTATCAGATCTAATCCCTTGAATCCATTTGTCACTTCCACTGTATAATCATAAGGGATTTGATTTAGGTCATACATGAATGGTCTAGTGGTTTGGTTTTCCCTAATTTCTTCAATGTAAGTCTGAATTTTACAATAAGGAGTTTATGATCTGAGCCACACTCAGCTCCCAGTCTTATTTTTGCTGACTGTATAGAAAGTCTCCATCTTTGGCTGCCAAGAATATGATCAATCTGATTTCGGTACTGACCATCTGGTGATGTCCACGTGTAGAGTCTTGTGTTGTTGGGCGATGGTGTTTGCTGTGACAGGTGCGATTGGCAAAGCTCTGTTAGCCTTTGCCCTGCTTCATTCTGCACTACCACGCCGACCTTGCCTGTTACTCCACGTGTCTCTTGACTTCCTACTTTTGCATTCCAGTCCCCTATAATGAAAAGGACATCTTTTTTGGGTGTTAGTTCTAGAGTGTCTTGTAGGTCTTCATCGAACTGTTCAATTTCAGCTTCTTCAGCATTACTGGTCGGGGCATAGACTTGGATTACTGTGATATTGAATGGTTTGCCTTGGAAACGAACAGAGATCATTCTGTCACTTTTGAGGTTGCATCCAAGTACTGCATTTTGGACTCTTTTGATGGCTATTCCATTTCTTCTAAGAGATTCTTGCTCACAGTAGTAGATAAAAATGGTCATCTGAGTTAAATTCACCCATTCCAGTCCATTTTAGTTTGCTGATTCCTAGAAAGATGACGTTCACTCTTGCCATCTCCTGTTTGACCACTTCCAATTTACCTTGATTCATGGACCTAACATTCCAGGTTCCTATGCAATGCTCTTTACAGCATTGAACTTTCCTTCCATCACCAGTCACATCCACAACTGGATGTTGTTTTTCTGAATATTCATTGGAAGGCCTGATGATGAAGCTGAAACTCCAGTATTTTAGCCACCTGATGTGAAGAGCTGACTCATTTGAAAAGACCCTGATTCTGGGAAAGATTGAAGGTGGGAGGAGATGTGGATGACTGATGATGAGATGGTTGGATGGCATCACTGACTCATGGACATGAGTTTCAGTAAGCTCTGGGAGTTGGTGATGGACAGAGAAGCCTGGCATGCTGCAGTCCATGGGTTCGCAAAGAATCAGACAGGACTTAACTGAACTACCCCTACCATAGTTTGGCCTCAGGCTAAACTACAGGCAGGGAAAGCCATCAACAGAAAATTGGATTAAAGATTTACTGAGCACGGCCTCACCCATCAGAACAAGACCCAGATTTACCCACAGCCAGTCCCTCCCATTAGGAAGCTTCCATAAGCTTCTTATGCTTATCCATCAGAGGGCAGACAGAATGAAAACCACAATCACAGAAAACTTACCAAAATGATCACATGGATCACAGACTTGTCTAACTCAGTGAAACTATGAGCCATGCCTTGTAGGACCACCCAAGACAGTTGGGTCATGGTAGAGATTTTGACAAAACATGGTCCACTGGAGAAGGGAATGGCAAACCACTTCAGAACTTGAGAACCCGATGGATAGTATGAAAACAGAAGAAAGATATGACATGGAAAGATGAGCTCCCCAGGTCGGTAGGTGCCCAATATGCTGCTGGACAGGAGTGGAGAAATAGCTCCAGAGAGAAGGAAGAGACGGAGCCAAAGCGAAAAAAGTGCCCAGTTGTGGATGTGACTGGTGATGGAAGTAAAGTCAGATACTGTAAAGAAACAATATTGCATAGGACCCTGGAATGTCAGGTCCATGAATCAAGGCAAATTGGAAGATGGCTAGAGTGAAGATTGACATTTTAGGTATCAGTGAACTAAAATGGATCAGAATGGGCAAATTTAATTCAATGACCATTATATATCCCACAATGGGCAAGAATCTCTTAGAAGAAATGGTGTATTCCTCATAGTCATTGAAAGAGTATGAAATGCAATACTTGGGTACAATCTTGGTTTGTTTCCAAGGCAAACCATTCAATATCACAGTAATCCAAGTCTATGCCCCAACCAGTAATGCCGAAGAAGATGAAGTTGAATGGTTCTATGTAGACCTAGAAGACCTTCTAGAACTATTTATTTTTAATTTTTATTTATTTTCACTCAGTTGTGTCCGACTCTTTGCCACCCCGTGGACTGTAGCCTGCCAGGCTCCTCCGACCACGGGATTCTCCAGGCAAGAACACTAGAGTGGGGTGCCATGCCACCCCAAACGTCCTTTTCATCACAGGAGACTGGAATGCAAAACTAGGAAGACAAGAGATAACTGGAGTAACAGGCAAGTTTGGTGTTGGAGTATAAAATGAAGCAGGGCAAAGGCTAGCAGAGTTTTCCCAAGAGAACACTCTGGTCATTGCAAACAGCTTCTTCCAACAACACAAGAGAAGACTCTACCTGTGAACATCACCAGATGGTCAGTACTGAAATCAGATTGATTCTGTTCTTTGCAGCCAAAGATGGAGAAGTTCTATACAGTCAGCAAAAATAAGACTGGGAACTGAGCGGGGCTCAGATCATAAACTCCTTATTGTAATATTCAGACTTAAATTGAACAAACTAGAGAAAACCACTCGATCATTCAAGTATGAGGTAAATCAAACCCCTGATGATTATACAGTGGAAGTGACAAATAAAGATTCAAGGGATTAGATCTGATAGAATGCCTGAAGAATAATGGACAGGGGTTTGTGACATGGTAAAGAAGGGGGTGATCAAAACCATCCTTAAGAAACAGAAGTTCAAAAAGGTAAAATAGTTGTCTGAGGAGGCCTTACAAATAGCTGAAGAAAGAAGAGAAGTAAAAGGCATAGGGAAAAGGAAAGATATATCCACCTGAATGTAGAGTTCCAAAGAACAGCAAGGAGAGATAAGAAAGCCTTCCTAAGTGATCATTGTAAAGAAATAGAGGAAAACAATAGAATGGGAAAGACTAGAGATCTCTTCAAGAAAATTACAGATACTAAGGGAACATTTCATGCAAAGATGGGCACAATAGAGGACTGAAATGGTATGGAACCTAACAGAAGCAGAAGATATTAAGAGGAGGTGGCAAGAATATACAAAAGATCTATAAAAAAAAAAAATCCTGATGATCCAGACAATCACGATGGTGTGATTACTCACCTAGAGCCAGACATCCTGGAGTGTGAAGTCAAGTGGGCCTTAGGGAGCATCACTACAGATATAGGTAGGGGAGGTAATGGAATTCCTGTTGAGCTATTTCAAATCCTAAAAGATGCTGTGAAAGTGCTGCACTCAATATGACAGCAAATTGGGAAAACTCAGCAGTGGCCACAGGACTGGAAAAGGTCAGTTCTCATTCCAACTCCAAAGAAAGGAAATGCCAAAGAATGATCAACTACTGCGCAACTGCACTCATCTCACATGCTAGCAAAGTAATGCTCAAAATTCTCCAAGCCAGGCTTCAACATTACGTGAACTGAGAACTTCTTGATGTTCAAACTAGATACAAGAAAGGCAGAGGAGCCAGAGATCAAGTTGCCAACATCCAATGGATCAAAGAAAAAGCCTGAGAATTCCAGAAAAATATCTACTTCTGCTTTATTGACTATGCCAAAGTCTTTGTGTGGATCACAACAAACTGGAAAATTGTCCAAGAAGGGAATAGCAGATCAGCTTCCTTGCCTCCTGAGAAATCTGTGTGCAGGTCAAGAAGCAACAGTTAGAATCAGACATAGAACAATAGTCTGGCTCCAAATTGGGAGAGGAGTGCGTCAAGGCTGTAGGTTGTCACCCTGTTTATTTAACTTAAATGCAGAGTACATCACGTGAAATGCTGTACCTGGATGAAGCACAAGTTGGAATCAAGAATGCCTGAAGAAATGTCAACAACTTCAAATATGCAGATGACACCACCCTTACTGAAGAAAGTGAAGAGGAACTAAAAGCCTCTTGATGAAAGTAAAGAGGAGAATGGAAAAGTTGGCTTAACACTCAACATTCAAAAAATGAAGATCATGGCATCCGGTCTTATCACTTCATGGCAAATAGATGAGGAAACAGTGGAAACAGTGACAGACTCTTTTTTTCTTTGGCTTGAAAATCACTGGCGATGCAGACTGTAGGCATGAAGTTAAAAGATGCTCCTTGGAAGAAAAGCTATGATCAACCTAGGCAGCATATTAAAAAGCAGAGACATTAGTTTGCTGACAGAGATCTGTATAGTCAAAGCTATGGTTTTTCCAGTGGTCATGTATGGATGTGAGAGTTGGATCATAAAGAAAGCTGAGTGCCGAAGAATTGATGCTTTTTGAACTGTGGTGTTGGAAAAGACTCGAGAGTCCCTTGGACTGCAAGGAGCTCAAACCAGTCCATCCCAAGGACTCAAATCAGTCCTGCATATTCATTAGAAGGACAGATGCTGAAGCTGAAGCTCTAACAGTTTAGCCACCTGATGCAAAGAACTGACTCAGAAAAGACACTGATGCTGGGAAAGATTCAAGGCAGGAGAATTGGACGACAGAGGATGAGATGGTTGGATGGCATGACTGACTCAATGGACATGAGTTTGAGCAAGCTCTGGGAGTGGTGATGGATAGGGAAGCCTGGTGTGCTGCAGTCCATGTGGTCACAAACAGTTGGACACTACTGAGTAACTGAACTGAACTGAAGATTCAGTAATGGGATGGATTAAAGTTTTTGGGTAGAAAAGAAGCATGATGTAGTCTGTCAGAAATTTTGAGAATGAAGAGTAAGTGATTGCTTCTAAATACTACAATTAATTTGACTGACAATTGGGTATTAGAGAACCCACACGGGAAAGAGCAGGTTTTAAGGAAAGGAAATGAAATACCAATTCAATACATGCATTTTAATAAACTTTTTTGTATTTAGGCCATTTTTCACAGTAAATTTTATCATAAATGCTTAACCCTAGAAAACATGTACACATGGGTGTGCTCCTATAACAAACAAATTTAACAGGGTGGCTTGAAAAGAGAAAGCAGTAATAATTTGACCCTTCAGGACCTTTTGCTTTTGTCAAATTTTTTAATCGTTCCTCTTCAAGTATATAGAATGCTGAAAGAAGAAAAGATAAATTTTTCAATTGTTAATTGCCAAATTTTGTTTATAGTATATTATTATTCAAAAAGCTCTTTGTCACTTGCTTCTTCCAATTTAGAAATAACTGGCTTTGTTCGTTCCTCTGACTACAGTTCTAACAGGACTGGTTTTACTCGGATTTTCAAAAGAAAGCTCAGTACTACAAATGGGTTTTTGAATCATATATGAACCTTCATAATGGGACAAAGGCCACATTTACAGAAAACGGACTTACGCCCCAGGCACTCAGCAGGACACTTTAACTTGCCCAAAGTCAGAAATTATGTCACAGAGCTAGGATTCATATTCAGGTCTGCCTGACTGCAGAGCTTTTCTGCCACATCACATTGATTCTTGAATGTATTTCAAAAATTTATAAATCCATTTTTACTCTGTAGCTGTAAAAGGATTTCACACAGTATGTTAGGGAAAACACTGATTGAAACTGCCTGCCCTGGCTAGGCACCATAGCAACCATTTGCATGAACTATTTTTTGACAGGTGGGCCAGGTAAAGAATGCAGAACCAACAAGTAACCACCAGCCAGAAGAATTCAGGAAAGGTCAAAAAGAGATGCCACCTGTCCTACTGATCTCCCAGAATCCTCCTCATTGAAATTCATTTTGGTTGAGCAATGGCTGAGCCACCAGGAAGGACCCTGAGTCAGAGTGACTGGCCAGAGACAATCTGGAAACTAATCTCATCACCATCAAACCGGAGGCTGCGAGTCACGTAGCAGAGTCCTCCTGCTCTTCGCCTAAGGGCCCCTTTCTTAATAAAATCTCTTGCTTTGTCAATACGTGTCTCCTCAAACAATTCATTTCTGAGCGTTAGACAAGAGCCCCCATGGGTCCCCCTTCCTGCAACAAATACATAAAAAAAATTTATTCTTCTTTTCAAGTTAAAATATGTTAAGACAGTTTGAGGTCATGTTGCTGGATATTCCATGACCCATTTCTTACTCTCTTTAGCTCTGTTTCCTTTTACCATTAGCTACTTCATCATCCTTCACTGTATAAGTTATTAAACCTTCCAACTATCTTTTGACTCACTGGAATATGTGTGCTCTTATATGCACACACTTTGGGTGACTAGAAGGAGGCCAGTGGTATGTATGAGCAATATGATTTATTATGGACAAATAGTAGAAAAAATGCTACTAATATCCACAGATAAGTTCCTTAAGTCATATGTAAAGAGACAATATTATTAAAAGTTTGCTTTATTTTTCTGTTGAATCAAGTATCAATACTATCTCCCAATTACATTTTATGCCTTACAAACATTAGCACAGTTAGTATCACCTCATCAACAACTGAATAATAAATCAAACTAGGTCCCGGTGGTTATGTCCATATCTAGATTGCCAGGGTGATCAGGAACTCTTATTTATTTGCTTTAGCTTTTAGTTCTTGGTTATATCTATAAAGAAAACAGAAAGAAAAAAGGATGAATCACAATAAACACATTCATTTTTTAACTAAAATTTTTTTTTCTTTTTTTGGTTGCACTGCATAGCATGTGGGATCTTAATTCCCTGACCAGGGATAGAATCCATGCCCCCTGCAGTGGAAATGTGGAATCTTAACCACCGGACCACCAGGAAGTCCCTAGATAATATTTATAATAAGATGGGAATGAGAAGCATATTTCATTTCTTCTTTTTCACTAGTCAAGAGGCTATACAGTTGTAAATACAATCTTGCCAGGGGCTTATAGGTAGAAATATGCAGAAAGGAGAATAACCTAAGGACTTTATTTGAATCTGGCTTGAAACTGTCAAAAAGTCTTAACTGACTTACAGTTTGCTATACAAAAGTATTAATTTAATGTAAGAATATTTTCATTCTTGAACTATATGAGAGTAAGACAAATGTGAACATATGTATAAAATTTACCAAAACGTAGTCACCTAGAGCTTTTAATTTTATATTCACAAAGCATCTTCCCTGAGAATAAAATCAGTTGGGAATGAGCCTGTCTAGTCACTAAAAATATAATTCTGTGACACAGGCTGGCTACTGGCTTAGGAGATGTAACATTTAAGTTTTTTGAAACTAAGGACAATTTCTTCAGTTCTCATTAATTCTCAATTTTCATTAATTCAAAGAATTAACCACAAAGCTACAAAATCTTTCTGTTTTACAACACCCCGGGCTTAATTTACTAATCTTCTCAGCTGAAAATAGAGTGGAAAACTGAACAAGCACAAAAAGGAAGCTATTCTATGAAGCCTATCATACCTCCTATACTTCTCAAAAGGTCCTGATTTCAAATATTAAACCCTATTTTCCTGAGTGCTCCAGAGAGTCCAACATTTGTATTTCTAACTAAATCTCTCAATCTGCTATTTTAATTGTAAGGCTAAATATCCTTTTATTAAATTGTATCTGAATTTCTGCTATTAGAAATAACATTTTTGAATGTGGCACTTAGTGTTCTCATAGTTTTACTATCATGAGTTAATATAAGGTTAAAATAAGATGGTGTATGAGAAAAGTACTCTGTGAATAAAATCAATGCACAAACTGAAGTTTATATTGATATAAGTTAAGACCTAAAAATGGTTAACAGGCATTTGTAGAATAAGTGAGTATTCATCTATCTGTTATGTCTTAGATTATTATGAAAAGATTATACAATTAAGCTGCAAGTAAAGCTAGGTATGGTACAGATAAATGAAATTAAATGTACTATACACTACAAAATACAATGCTTTCTGAAAAGAAGGAATATTACATAACTCAATGTTTTCTAATTTTTTATTGAGATCATTCAATTTTTTTAGCCAAAGAAAGCTGTTATTCATAACATTTTTTTGTAATTTTGGAAGGTCCTATGGTTCAAACAAAGCCAGAGCCTTCATCTAAGCTCATTCCAAAGTGTTAGCTAGTCACTGACAAATAATATTAATTACTGAATAAATAGTTTCAAGGGCTTCCCAGGTGGCTCAGTGGTAAAGAATCTGCAATATAGGAGATGCGGGTTTGATTCCTGGGTGGGGAAGTTTCCCTGGATAAGGAAATGGCAACCCACTCTAGTATTCTTGCCTGAGAAAACCCATGGACAGAAGAGCCTGGTGGGCTACAGTTCATAGGGTCACAAAGAGTCGGACACAACTGAATGACTAAACGACAACAAAAACATGGAGAGCTTACCTCCAAATACGAAAGAGCTGAGAGGCTCCTGCTGTCCCAACAAAGAAATTAACAGCAAATAGACTCCAGTTTTTTGGAATAATTACAAGTGAGTATCTCGACCAAATAAAGCCTGTTGAAATAAAATATTTTTAAAAAACAGCATAGGTATTGCTGCAATCTTATCTAAACATTTAATATTAGAGTAAAATACTTAGACTAAGATTTTATTTTCTTGGGCTCCAAAATCACTGCAGATGGTAACTGCAGCCATGAAATTAATAGATGCTTGTTCCTTGGAATAAAAGCTATGACAAACCTAGTGAGGATACTAAAAAGTAGAGATATCCCTTTGCCAACAATAGTCAAAGGTATGGTTTTTCCAGTAGTCATGTATGGATATGAGAGTTGGACCATAGAGAAGGCTGAGTGCTGAAGAACTAATGTTTTCAAATTGTGGTGCTGGAGAAGACTCTTTTTTTTTTTGGAGAAGACTCTTGAGAGTCCCTTGGACAGCAAGAAGATCAAACCAGTCAATCCTAAAGGAGATCAACCCAGAATATTCACTGGAAGGACTGATGCTAAAGCTGAAGTTTCAGTACTATGGCTATAGAGCTGACTCACTGGAAAAGATCCTAATGCTGGCAAAGATTGTGGGCAGGAGGAGAATGGGTAACAGAGGATGAGATGACTGGATGGCATCACCAACTCAATAGACACGAGTTTGAGCAAACTCCGGGAGATAGTGAAACAGAGTAACCTGGCATGCTTCAGTCCATGGGGTCACAAAGATTCAGACATAACTTAGCGACTGAAAAACAACAGCATAAAGTAGGGGAAAAAGGTTATAATCTGAGATTTAATGAAGTTGGTATAATTCAGGATTACACAAAACACTCAGTTATTACATCAAAGAAAAACTTTCATAACCCTCCTTCTGCCTTCTTCGGCTATAGTCTAATAACTGCCTACAGGTAATACCATTAATTTCTTTGTGTGTGTGTGCGTGTGTGTATTTCAAAAAACAGTCAAGTAAATTGATTTAAACTAATTATTGAATGTCCTATATGGAAGATATTCATTTAACTTACCTGTAGCCATCAAAACAGCAGATTGAGCCGTGCTGAGTTTTTCTGCAGGTCTGGCCATGTCAGCCAATCCAGCACACACCAGCCCCTGGAAATAAATGTTTTTTTCAGTGTTACTCTTTTTTAGAAATGGAAGTATCGGAAAGTTGGTATAATTTTAAGTTTCTTGGTTAGGTAATTTTTCCTTAATGTCAAAGTATACATGGTCATTTCTTCTCTGGCATATTTTTAATACTGTCTTTTATAGAATCATTCTACTCATGCTCCACCACCAGCATCAGTCAGAAAGTTGAGTAATGAGTCCTAATAGAATATTACTTATGCTACTCTACTACACAGATTAGAATACATAATAGAATGATTTTTATTGATGAAAAATTCACTCCTACACAAAATAAAGAGATACTAAGAGAATGAACCCCTATATACCCATCACCCAGTCAACAATTATTGAGATCTGCCATATTTACCTTTCCTCCTCCCTTTCTCCTTTTTTCTTTAAGTATTTAAATCAAATTCTAAACATGTCATTAGAAAATACGGTCTTAAGAAATTCATTTTCGACCTCCCTTGGGGTCCAGGGGTTAGGAGTATGTATGCCAATGCGGAGGACATGAGCTGGATCCCTGGTCTGGGAAGATCCCACCTGCCAAGGAGCAGCTAAGCCCAGAGCCACAACTATCGAAGCTCGGGTGTTCGAGTGTCCGAGTTCAGTAACTACTGAGCCCACCTAGTGAAGCTACTGAAGCCTGAGTGCTCCAGAGGTGGTGCTCTGCGACAAAAGAAGCCACTGCTCACTGCAACTAGAGAAAGCCTGTGTGCAGCAACGAAGACCCAAGAAAGCCAAAAACAAATAAATAAATTCATTTTCAGGTTTTACTCAGTTCCTAAAAGATGCATGAAACATTAAAAAAAAGTTTTTCCCTCCTAAATACAACACATGCATACTAGTGAATTTATACACAAATTTAAACCAATTAAAATGATTTTTATTTAATAAAGTCATTGGTTCAAGAAAGCAGTGATTCTGGCTCAAAAAGTGGCAAATGGTTGAATACTGAAGTGGAAGTAGAGGTGTACCATACCTAACACTACTTTTCTCCTTAATTTTCACCCACAGTCGGGTGATTTCTTCTCAAACAGCTCCGAATCATAGCTCCTGCTTTTTCCTTCCAGGTCCTAATATCCATTTTCTCTCTTGCATATTTGTTCCACTTTGGCAGGGTGGAATACTGCCCTTGTATAGGGGAAGAAGGGGACTGGTTTCTACCATTATTGTACTCGGTCCATGTATTACTACACTGTGGCTTTTCAAATAGACTAGAGGCTATATTCTAGCATTGTCTTTTGGAAGAAGGTAACAGCCATGATTTTGTTTATGCTGAGTATACATTTCATTTTTCTAGGACATGTTAGTAATCGTTCTCTCTCACAAAGGTCCTGAGTGCCCTCTCCCACAGTTATTCTTCTTTTCTTCTTGAAATCATCTTCTCTCTTAATATAGATGTACATATTCTCTGATCCATTTACAAAGACATTGGAGATATCATGCCCTTTGACTTTCTAGTATTTTAGTGTATATTTACTAAGAACAAGACTATCTTCCCATTTTCTTAATCCATAATCTAATCACAAATTTAACATGGACAAGACACTGTTGTCTAATGTACAGTTCACAGTTAAATTGTGACATAGTTAAAACTGTCCCAAAATGTCTTAAAAAAAATTGTTTTTTCTTGTCTAGAGTAGTTAGGTCAGGAAAATACACTGCATTTGGATGTTACACCTTTTAGTCTTCTTCTGAAACTGAAGTATAGTTGGTTTATAATACTATATTACTTAGTTTCCTTTCCTGAATTTCTAAAAAGCCCTTTCAATTTCTATACCACTCTAACCTCATGTAAATTACCTTAGAAAATCTTATTGTGAATTTACTTATCTCTGTCATTTACTAGTTTGATGACTTTGGTCAAGTTATATAATACTCTCTCTCTTTTTTTTTGGCCATAAAGCTTATTGGATCTTAGTTCCCTGACAAGGGATTGAATTTGGGCACCCTGCAGTGGGAGCGCTGAATCCTAACCACTGGACAGCCATGGAATTCCCCATGACACTTGTCTTATATTCTTCATGTACAGAGTGAGAATATTAATAGCTACCCTTGCAAGAGTGATATATTATTAAATGAGATAATATGCTTTAAAGATAGTTAGCACAGTGTCTGGAAAATATTACTGTTAGCAACGACAAATAGTAGTTTACATTTTTAGAGAAACAGAGGTAAGGGAATATTAGTCTCTGTACCCTTTCCTGTATTTCTAGCCTCAGGGGCTAGAAGGTCAATGTTCCTCTTCTTTATTATGAATTTTACTCAAATAATAGAACTGTAGAGTCAGAGAGTGCGTGGAGTATACCAAAAGATTGTGTAAATTACTCCCTAACATAGGAAGAAAGTACCAATTGTAGAAAGGTCCAAACTGACTTTTAAAGGGGGTCATGGAAGTGTTTAAGAGCCTAGGCTTTGAAGTCAAATTAGACCTGAGGGCTCACATCCTGAGTCGGTCATCACTTAACAACAGTTTTAGTTCTTTGAACCTCAGTATCTTTACATCTCAGATTTTTTTCTGGTAAAGATTAAATATGAGACAATGTATTAAATAATCCAATACAGACACTTTGGCATCTAGCAAATTCAAGTTATTTCTCTGCTTCCATCAATTAAAAACTGGTTTTCAAATGTGTGTGATTCTTTTTGGCACCATGTTATCTCCACTGGGTGGAGTAAATACTCATCAGATAGTGTGAACACTTTTTTCCTTCTTTTCTTCCAGTATTTTCTCCTCTAGTTAAAAAAAAAAACCTCATATAACACTTTTAGAGGAGTGTAAAAAACAATGAAAAACCACTGTATAATATTCCAATTCCAAACACTTAAGAGATAGCAAAGTTTTCAAGATTCTAAACTGTGAATTAGCCTATGTTAGGAGTTACAGCTGGAAAAGCAAGTAGTTAGATACTAAAAATCAGCATAGATAATCTTAAAAGAGTTTGACTTATTCCTAAGAACAGAAAGAAAAAAAAATTAGCTACACAATATGGTATACTGTTCAAGAGTTAAATATAACCTAGTCTGTGCAAAAAGACTATGAGCAGAAAGAAAAAAAAAGCTCTCAGAACTGAGCTTCACATAATAGTTTCCGCAGGTTAGCCAAGGGGCTTCCCAGATAGCTCAGTTGGTAAAGAATTTGCCTGCAATGCAGGAGACCCCAGTTCGGTTCCTGGGTCAGGAAGATCCCCTGGAGAAGGGCCAGGCTACCCACTCCAGTATTCTTGGGCTTTCCTTGTGGTTCAGCTGATAAAGAATCTACCTGCAGTGTGGGAGACCTGGGTTCGATCCCTGGAGGCTACCCACTCCAGTATTCTGGCCTGGAGAATTCCATAGACTGTATACTGGGTTTATTCTGTATAGTACTCATGCATTTTTGCTCTCACCAGTTTTTTTTTTTAATCAAGTCACTGTAGTTGTCCTCAGACCTGTTTATACCAGTTTTGTTGCAGAGAAGCCAATTCTGACTCCATGTTGGAACTGTTTCTTTGACTTGCTTTTTGCTGCTTTTGTTATTATAATTATACAGAACAGCCTGCCTCAGAATCCTGCCCCTCTGTCTGACTATAAAGTGCCTTTGTTCAGAATCCTGTGTACCTGTAGACAGAAGGAGGGAAGAAATCAACACATCCCCTGCCTGAGGCTTGCCATTCCAGGAGATTGGCAAGATTAATGGTCTTTTTACTTTGGTTCCTCACCTCCCCCCATCTCTGATCTATAAAAGAACCTGGCATCCAGATCCCGATAAGATGGGTATTTTGAGGCGTTAGGCTGCCATCTTCTCGGTTAGCCAGCTCCTCAATCAAAGTCTTCCTTGCCTCAATCCCTCATCTCTCAGATTCACCGGCCTGTTGTGCAGCGAGCAGAGCAGAGTGAGCTTGGATTCGGTAACAGTTTTATTTTTTAATATAATTTATCTAATTTCATGAACTAGGTAAATAGCTGATATACAAAAAGAGGGTTGCTATTTCTATGAAACTAAAGTGATTACTTTGGAAAGACTGAATAAAGGTAAGTTGTTAAACTTGCTATCAAATTTGGTCTAAACAAGACAGATACAAAAAGATTGGTGGGGGGGAAACAGAAATCTAGCAGGTTTCTGTTATCAGACTATTATGAAAGAGTCTATAAACTTGCTCTGATTTGAAGAAAACTAAACTAAAATTATACAGGATGCACTGTGGCTATAATTCTTCCATGATAAATCATGTGGAACTTAAAATCAGTGGATCCACACACGAAGCCCTGGCACTATAGTAAATGATTGATAAATGAATATGTGTTTATAGTCTTAGGGTTAAAATAGTTAAAAGTATGTAGTGTTATTTTTTAGAATTATCCAGTTTGACCTTTATGATTATCTGATTTCAACTAAAGTGGCTAAGAAGGATTCAACCATAGTTAAATATCTAAAGAAGAACAGTCTAAAATTCTTAATGTAGAACTTATGTGAGAACAAGACACAGGAGTTTCTATGGTTGTGCTGTCATCAGGAGACTATGCATGATGTCAACATGAACTTAAAATAGATGTTTTTAAAGGAGATAGTGGAGAAAGCACTTATGAGTATATAATACTGTTAATGTTTCAAAACACTGATAGACCAGACCAAAGAACCACCAAAGCTATTGGTAACATAAACAAACATCTAAATTGTGGCAAATTTGTGATCAGAGGACCCCTCACAAATTTACTGTAAATACAGTAAATCATTCTTTTAACTTTTTTTTGGTAATTTTTTTATTGGAGTATAGTTGATTTACAATGTTGTATTAGCTCAAGTGTGTAGCAAAGTGAATCAGTTATACATACATGCATATCCACTCTTTTTAGATACTTTTCCTATACAGGTCATTACAAGGTATTGAATAAAGTTCCCTTTTGCTATGCACTAGTTCCCTGTGCTACACAGTAGATTTTCATTAGTTATCTATTTTGTTATTCTTACTTTTTAAATAATATTTCTAGAAACAATATTTCAGAAATTAATTCAACTTTGTAGATGCATAATTTTAAGTGTTGATAGGAGAGAAGAGGAAGGAAATAGTAATATACCTTTCACAGTATTTTTTTTTAATACTATAGTACTTTTAAATGCTTAGAGTATGGGCAGAATCATTATAGCTGATATTCTGTAATTTCTTTTTTAAACTGATAGAGCCTTTTTGCAATATACGAATCTAAAAAAAGAACTGCTCCCTAGTTCTCTGTAAATATAGTCCCCTATCACTAATTTACTCTAGTCCTGTTTTATAGATGAGACAAAAGGGCACAGATAGAATTTGCGTAAGGCCATAAAATTGCTGCTGCTGCTCCTGCTGCTGAGTCGCTTCAGTCGTGCCTGACTCTGTGCGACCCCATAGACGGCAGCCCACCAGGCTCCTCCGTCCCTGGGATTCTCCAGGCAAGAACACTGGAGTGGGTTGCCATTGCCTTCTCCGCCATAAAATTGAGGGATAGCTAATTCCAGTTATAACATTCTCAACTACTTAGATTTACAACTGAGTTTCTGAACTGTTCTAACAATTTAAAACTACACATTTAAAAGAATTAAAATATCCTATAACCCAACAACAAAAAACAACTTTATTAATACTTGGGCAGAGTTTAAATAGATAGTTTTCCAAAGAAAATGTAAAAGTGGTCAATAAGCATATGAAAAGATGCTTAGCACAGCTAAATGCACATCAAAACAACGCACCACTTCACACCCATTAGGAAGGGTATTATAAAGCAACAACAAAAGTAGCAAGTGTTGGCAGGGATGAATGGAAACTGGAAACCTTGTGAATTGCTGGTGGAAATGTAAAACAGTGCAGCCACTGTGGATGATAGTTAAGCGGTTCATTAAAAGATTAAATATAGAATTACCATATGATTCAACATTCTATTTGTAGTTATTTACACAGAAGAACAGAAAGCAGGGTCTGAAACAGATATTGTATGGACACCCAGGTGTCTATCAACAGAAAACTGAAAAAACAAAATGTGATACATACATACAATGAAATATTACTCAGACTTGAAAAGGAAGGGAATTCTGACACAGAACAACCTTAGGATATTATGCTAAGTGAAAAACACCAGGCACAAAAAGACAAATACTGAAATACTGTATGATTTCATCTATAGAAATTCACAGAGAAAGTAGAATGATAATTGCCAGGGGCTGGGGAAGAGGGAAGTGAAGAGCTATGGTTTAATGGGTTCATAGTTTTAGTTCTGCAAAATCAAGAGTACTAGATCACAATACTGTGGAACAATTAACCTATAATTTAAAAATAAATTAAAAGAAAAGTACTAGAGATTGGTTGAATAGTGATATACTCAAATCTAAAAAAGAGGTTAAGATGTTAAATTTTATGTGCATTTTATTACAATAAAAAAAGAAAGCCTGTAGATCTGTTAGGGGAAGCACACTGATTGAAACCGTCCACCCTGGCCAGGCACCATAGTAACCATGTGCATGAGTTGTTTTATGACAGGAGATCCTGATAAGGAATACAGACCTAATAAGCCACCACCAACCGCAAGAGTTGGGGAAAGGTGGAAAGGAGACACCACGTGTCCGTCCATTTCCCAGAATCCCTCTCACTAGCATCCATCTTGGCTGAGCGATGCGTGCGCCACCAGTAAAGAATTAGAATGATTGGCCAAAGACTAATCCCATCACCATAAAACCCGAGACTGCTAGCCAGGGAGCAGAGCAGTTCTCCTGGGTCCCCTCACTCTCCTGCTCTCCGCCCGGGTGCCCTTTCCAATAAAATCTCTTGCTTTGTTAGCACATGTGTCTCCTCGGACAATTCATTTCTGAGTGTTAGACAAGGGCCCAGTTTCGGGCCCTGGAAGGGGACCCCTTCCTGCAACAGATATAGGGCTTATTATTAAAACACAAATTACTGGGCTCCATCCCCATAGTTTCAAACTTAGTAAATCTGCAATGGGGCCTGAAAATTTGTGTTTCTAACATGTTCCTGGATGATGCCAAGGTTGCAGGTCCGGGGATGATATTTTGAGAAGCACTGCATCAAGCCAAAACTGGCCTTTCCAACATAAAATCAGTGATTTGTTATTAGTAGCCATTACAATTACTTCTTTTCAGCTAAATGAGAACTTTATGAATGGAAACTGGCATAGGATAAAAGCATTTACTGTGGAGTCAGAAGTTCTGGATTCTATCGTTTACCAAATGTTAACATATATACATATATATATATCCTGGATAAATTCTTCTACTTTTTGAGACTAATTTTCCTTGCCTCTGTTTTGGTGTTAGTATCTTAAGTTCTCAAACTAAGTTAATAACAAAAGTTAATTTTGGGCACGGGAGGAGTTCAAACCAATTTAATGTTTTATATACTCACAAAATTTTAGAATGAAGTTTCATGTTCTTAGGGCCCGTAATTATAAGCTTTTTGATGATAATAAGTTCCCCAAAGGGCTCCTTATCTAAGGAGTTCAAAAGACCCCAGGTAGGTAGTATGCTTATAGAGTAAAAATGATACATCTGAGAGTATTTGCATGAAATTATTTCAAGCTGTACCATGAACATTTAAAGTACATCCTTCAAAAAAAAATACATAAAGTACATCCTTCAGAAAAATTACTTCAAATTAATAAGCTCTTTTAAAGAATATCTTTTTCAGTAGCATCAGCCAAAATCCAAGACTTACCCATTTCATAATTGGAGCCCAGAAAAATACTGTTCTGGGACCTGGAAAAAAAAAGAGAAAAATTTAGCAATAAACCAACTATTTTCTATATGCCTTTTAAACAGCCATCACATTTCAAAAACTCAAAGATTTATGAATCTATTTCTAATAATTATTACTGTGCTTTCTGCATGCTTGTATTTAAGTTAAAATTTAGAGAGTCACCATGGCATCAATTTTTCATACAAGTTGTTTTGATTTCCACATCAATTCTCTGTATTTTTGAGAACTATTAAAATTAGCTAAAGTATAATAGAGGTGGTTTTGGAAACTACTCTCAGTGTATTTTGCTTTGAACATGGAACTTAATATCATTTTATTTAAGGATAATCTTCAATTTGAGGAAATGATAAATTATGGAATTTTTGTGATATAAACTTCAGTAGATATATATATATGTATATATTCACTAATTCTATTAATATTTATTATTATAAATGATGTCACCACATGTATTCTAGTAAAAGTTCTTACAAAAAAAATTAATGACCCTAACCTAAATTAATTTAACCTAACTTTAAAGGGCAAACAAGAAAGGGGAAAGTCCTTGTTTTAGTTATCCTGGTACTCATCCACCTCATGCAAAATGTTCAATAAATGTTGACAGTATTTTTGAAATACTGTCACTATTTTGAATATATTTGAATTTCAAAATAGTGACAGTATTTTGAAAAACAACTCTGGTTTTCCAGATAACCTGGAATTTGAGAAGCACTGTGAATTTCAGAAACAAATAAGCAATTTGTGTCAGAGCTAGAAGTAAACTCACAGATCATCCTTCATTTTACCAATAGGCTGAGAGAAGTTCCATGACCTACTTAAGTCATGCGGGTAGTAAGCCCAGCATTGTAACTAGAAACTAAATGTTCTAACTCTCAAAACTTGTGCTCTTTAACCAATAACCAATAACATAACTTCTTACTCTTCCAAATCACAGATCTCTTTTAATCTTTCAGGGCACACAGTGACAGGAAAAAAACAGATTTGTCCATGGTAAATCAAAAGCTAAATCTAATACAAATCAGAGCACTTAATATGGTCTGTAATGTTCTCAACACACCGGATCAACAAAAGACATTTATTTCTTAACATAATTTCACATAAGATTTTTAAGCAAATTCAAAATTTAAAAAGTCTAATTATATTCATGAATATTATTTCTACCTTAATATTCCACTTAACTTTGTAAAAATAAATAAATCACATCTAAAAGGGCATAATCACCCAAATGTAACACATTTATTTCTCTTCATCTACTCCAGTAATATTTCTCAATAGCACTATCAGGTAAGAATGATTTTTTTCCCCAATTTTACCCCTAGTAGGTAAGCATGGGAATACCAGACCACCTCACCTGCCTCCTGAGAAACCTATACGCAGGTCAAGAAGCAACAGTTAGAACCGAACTTGGAACAGACTGGTTCAAAACTGGAAAACGAATACGTCAAGGCTGTATATTGTCACCCTGATTATTTAACTTAAATGCAGAGACAACATGCAAAATGCTGGGCTGGATGAAGCACAAGCTGGAATCAAGATTGCCAAGAGAAACATCAATAACCTCAGATATGCAGATGACACCACTCTTATGGCAGAAAGCAAAGAGGAACTAAGGAGCCTCTTGATGAAGGTGAAAGAGGAGAGTCTAAAATCTGGTTTAAATTTCAGCATTGAAGAAAATAAGATCATTGCATCTGGTCCCATCCCTTCGTGGCAAATAGATGGGGAAACAATGGAAACAGTGACAGACTTTGTCTTTTGGGGCTCCAAAAGTCACTGTGGACAGTGACCGCAGCCATGAAATCAAACACTCCTTGTAGAAAAGCTATGACAAACCTAGACAGTGTATTCAAAGCAGAGACATTACTTTGCCAACAAAGGTCCATACAGTCAAAGCTATGGTTTTTCTAGTAGTCAGCTATGGATGTGAGTGTAGGACCATAAAGAAGGCTGAACACCGAAGAATTGATGCTTTCAAACTGTGGTGCTGGAGAACTCTTGAGAGTCCCATGGGCAGCAAGGAGATCAAACCAGTCAATCCTAAAGGAAATCAACCCTGAATATTCACTGGAAGGGCTGATGCTGAAGCTGAAGCTCTAACACTTTGGCTACCTGATGCAAAGAACTGACTTATTGAAAAAGACCCTGATGCTGGGAAAGACTGAGGGCAGGAGGAGAAGGGGACGAAAGAAGATGAGATGGTTGGATGGCATCACCGACTCGATGGACATGAGTTTGAGCACGTTCCAGGAGATGGTGAAGGACAGAGAAGACTGGTGTGCTGCAGTCCATGTGGTCACAAAGAGTTGGACATGACTGAGCAACTGAACAACAATAACAAGGTGAATATTCACTGTCATTAATAAAGAAATGTTTCCAATCACATACATAAATAACATTTAAAAGATAAAATTGAATTAAACCTATTATTTAAACATAACAGATAATGAAATTGAAAAAGCATGGAGCTAAAAAAAGAAAAAGCCGGGATTTAAGCTAAGATTTAGTTGCAGTTGTGGCTTCAGTTTGTTGCAGAGATCATTCATTCATTCACTCATAGTAATTACTTCATGCTTTATAGTCCCCTAGGCACTAGGGATACATTGGCAAATAAAACACAGAGATGGTTTTTCATAACTTAAGCACAGGCAGGTTAAGTAAAATCATATCTGTAAGCTGTATAAAAACATTTTAGGGAAACAATTCTAAAGTGCTTTTCATCAAAACCACTCTATTTTCAGTTATATAATACTACCACTCAAAAGTGAAAATTAAAGCAATGATAATCTTTCTTTTTTGGATGCATTTTGGCTGAATTACTATCAAAAGTAGTTGGTTAATGTTAACAATAAGGAGAGAAATTTGAAAAATATAAAAAATGGTATCTGATCCTTGTGTAACTTTTGCTTATTAATTAGTTCTTAAAAAGTATCAAACAGTATAAACTATTGCTCACCTTTAGCAATACTAAGTGATTGTAATGTTACAGTTTGGACTATGCCACTATTCAACATATTCTTGGAATATTTTTGTAGTCCTCTCAAACTAATTCACATTGTTCAATGTGGTTTAAATACAACTAGATTTAAAAATCAGATGTACTATTACTAATATTTTACTAATAATCTACTGTAATTAGCTCTGTATTTACTTATATTGATTAGTCTGGCTTATACATATGAGTTTCTAAGTAAGCTTATTGATTCCCTAGAACATTTTTTTTTTTCCAGTTACAACTCAGTTTTATTGGCAAGCAAAGGATAGTACACCCTCTAGGCCTGAGGGCAGGCCAGCCCAAAAGGAGAGGCCTCAGTCCCTCTTTGGCCTCCTTCTTTTATATGTTTGTCTCCTCCCCTCCTTGAGCCTACCCTACGCAAATTGGGCTGGCTCAGAAGGGGGCCTGTTTCACCTGAAGTTCTCACTCGTGTCAGTTGATTTTCCTTTGTTCTGTTTTTGCAGGCTTTTTCCTTTGTCTTTTAGCCACTACCATTTTGGGCTCCTTTTCCCTATTCTAACTTTCTAACATTCCCCCCTCAAGAGATGGGAGGCCCAATTCTTTGGGAATAGGTGTGTCGAGGTCTCTCTGGCTATTTCCTGCTGAGCTGGGATGGCTAGGGGCATTGGGCCTTCCCCTCTAGCTCCTAGAACATTTAAACTTAATCCTAAAGTTCCTCTGTAATTTATCTTATTTTCTCAATCTTCAGGGAGCTGGATACCATTTTTAAACTAATAATTCTTCGAACATTAGAGTATCATGGCATAACCCCTGTCTTTCCTTATGGTCCAAAACAATTATTCATCTTCTTACATATATATGACAGTGAGTCATTTTTATGCTTGACTATGTAGTGTAAGTTTTCTATATTTTAAATTAGAGCAAATCTAGACAGTACTGAAATGGTTGCTGGGAGAGTTAAAACTATTTAGGAATTCTAAATTTTAATGTTCTTTTAACTGAGTGAAAATCTATGTTTAATTCCTGAGTTATTAATCCAGTGTCCTAAATTTTGTACTGTTCTGATCACAGCCACTATTACACTTCTAGAACTCTGGCACATAATGATTCCCTCTTCTCAATATTTGAACAAGATAGGGAAATCTTTAGTAGATTAGGTTGGCATTTCGAAAGAAATGTTTAAAGGATAGAAAACATGAAGGCACTGAGTTTCAAAATATAAATTCCTAATCCGAACTTGTTGTTTAGTCGTTAAGTCATGTCTGACTCTTTGCAACCCCATGGACTGTAGCCGCCAGGCTCCTCTGTCCATGGGATTTCCCAGGCAAGAATACTGGAGTGGGTTGCTATTCCCTTCTCCAGGGAATTTTCTCAACCCATGGGTCGAGCCCACATCTCCTGCATTGGTAGGCAGATTCTTTACTCCCGAGCCACCAGGGAAACCTAAGTTAATTAAATTTTAGCCCAGGTCACTTGTTCTCAGCCAGAGGTGATTTTGCTCCTCAGGAGACATTGACAATGCAAAGGACAACCCCCCTACAACAATAATCCAGCACCCAAAATATCTATTGTGCAAGGTTAGGAAACCTTTGTCTAGGTGGACTGACAAGCTAGGCAAACATGCAACTAGTTTCATGCTGTTTCATGGTTCTAAATCTCAGTTCATACTATCTCCTCTCAATATTTGGCCTTGTCTTCATCTGGCTAACTCCAACATCCTTCTAAAACTCATTGTAGGTTTTGTCTCCTCAAGGACTAGATTAAATGCTCCTTCTCCGAACTCTCAAAGCAGCAGTCTGTTTACTCTTCTATTGTTTTCTGCACATAACAATTAAACTGAACTATTTATGCATCCATTACTTTAATTAGACAAAGTCCTGAAGTTAAAGACTGTTTCTTAGTTTTCCTAGACAAATATTTTTGAACAGAATTGAACTGGATGAACCATATCCAGGAGAGATGCTAATCAGAGATATTCAAATTTTAGGAAATTTGAATATTTGCCTTGATACTAATGCATCTTCAAGGATGAACTTCAGGACACCA